AAATTTTATAAAAAATGAAATTTCTTGAAGCGTTTGACATCCTCAAATTAAAATTTGCAAAAATTTCTTTTACAAAATTATCTACTCTGTATGAGAATGAGAAAGATTGTGTTTAGATTTGACTTCTTTGATTCCTCGTTGTTTTTCTCGTTGAAGTGCGTTCTATTCTCCTCCATAACTATTTAAACACAAATCTCAACAGTTGCGCTCGAAAAATCTCGTTCCGAGATAATGGCGAAACTTCCCTCGGGCTGTTCGACCGAAATTATCCGCCAACTGTTCGGGACGAGGGCGCACATAATGCGGCCGATTACGTGAGAGCCGAACGAACGAACGAACAAAAAAAGCGTCGCAGTGTTTTTTACATATCTAGCAGCGAAATTTTACAACGCGGAAATATCGACCGATGACGGAACTCATTTATGCTCCTTTACGCACCCCTTATCGGCGCTCGCAGGATAAGAGGATGGAGGTTGAAAATCCGAAACGTACGAAAATCTTAAATGATTCCCCAGTTCTTCCATTCTCCCGACCTATTTCACCGCTAGGATATCTTTGAAACGGATTCTGCGAATGGAGACTTGCTCCACCCTCTCGCAAGCGTAAGAGGCTGAAGGGGGATATGTAAAGCAGTTTAAGATTGTTCGCCGGATAAGAAAACCGATCCCCGTGTCAGACTTACGACCGAACACATAGTTAACCGAATTTCACGGTATTATTTCTATTTAAATATCGCGAGTGTCTTTGCCAAAAAGATGTCAAAGAATAGAGATATTACGTAAGGGGGTGTGAAAGAGTGTGAGCAAAGTGTATTTGTGAAATTGCATAAAGAAAGTTTGCGGAGGAAAGTAAATAAAAAAAGAAGACTGAAAAAACTGTATTTGAGAAAGTTTTTTTGAACGTGTTTTTTTAACATATCAAGAGACGCGGTAGTGTCGAGCATAAAAATAACGACAGGCCGTCTGCGACCGCGTTCATGTCATCGTCCGGTAGCGCTACCGATTCCCTTTTCCTGAAAATTTTCCACCTCGAATTTCTCGATTAAAGAAAATAATGACGCAATAAAAAACTTTTAACGACATTTTTATGATGTAACGCTCTCGATATTCCAACCAGTCCGAAAAAATTGGTAGTCCCAATGCGGAGATGCGTCAAAAAATGAGATGCAAAAGCGGCAGAAAAAAAATGTCATTTTTTCCCATCGATTTTAAATTCATTCGTGCGTACTAAAGCGCGTCAAATTCGGAAAATGATAGATTTTATATAGACAAAATTAAGGAGTGGTTAAGCCGATATTGAGAAGAATTTACTATGAATAACTCTCGCGATAGCAGCTCTCTTGTAGCGAAACGAGTTCGCTACAACAGAGAGCTGCGTTTATGATCGTCGAATTTGAGAATCCTCGCAAATCGGAGGAGATACCTGGCTCTTAGAATCCAAAGTTGTGAAGTTATTCAATTTTTGATAGTAACTTGAACATTTATAATTACTATTACGCTATCAAATCTTCCTCCATATATTTTTATTCTAAAATTTTCTCACCGTTAATGGATTCTCCAAAAAAAATTATATGTTATGTAGGCTTTTTTAATATAATATGTATATATAATATATTGTATAGGTCCTCTTTAAAAAAAATTTTTAGCTCACCTCGTTTTTAATAACTTTTCTATTTTACACACTGATTCGAGTTCCTTTTATCGGAAGCAAACAATTATCCTGCAGAGGAATTCGGGGGAAGGGGGAGTGCGATAAGATTTACGAGGGTGATAAACGTCGTTATCCTGAGTGGCCACATAGAGCAATTGTGAGGACGTCTCTAATAAGACGAGCGTATCCGGCGTGCATGTCGCTCCTGGACTGTATGCAAGCTTTTACCGCGGCGATTCCGCTGTGAATACAAGCAATGAATGCAGCCGTGATAACCGCACCGTCGTCATCCTTATCTGTACACCGTAATCCCGCCTGTGTCACTGTAACTCGCAGGACGACGCGATAAAGTGCGCTGCACTGCAGTTACACTCGACCTTGCCGCGCGTCATTGTGCAGGTTTATCCTGACGTTAACCCTACCGCTTTCAGTTTTAGCATTTCTCTCTCTATTTGCATTTTCTTTTATTCTTCTCTTTTCTCTGTATGCAGCCGTGATATTTTAAAACTGAAAGAACTGAGATACAGTCCGACAGTTAAAAATTGAGATTAAAATATTGAATTAGAGAAAGGAAAATTTAAAACTCTTCAAATTTTTGTAGTAAACAAACACTTTATATTTGCGTGTTTATATTGATGCGTAAAAATAATTTATTGGAATTTAATGAAAATGTTTTTCAAACTCGTTCAATTTTGGATATCAAATATTGCGGCAATGCAGGGAATTCAAATTTAACGAAATTTCGATATTTACTTCATTCTGCTTAATTGAAAAAAAAACTGAAGCCACACATTTTGATTTAATATATATGTAAGTTCTCTTTCGATGCTTCTGCATATTTTTGAATATTGTGACAACAGGAGAGTTAAAATTAAATCCTGATAAACGTAAAGTTTCAAAGCCAGATTAGAAAATATAAAGTTTCGATTCCTGCGTGATGAATGCACAATGTGTTTTCTCTGTTACCGGGAGACTGAAAGGATTAAAGGAAGCGCTGCTAAGAAGGCGGACGCAATATCGAGTTTGCAAAATAAAGCGATCTAACGGGAACGCAGGTAGTTCTCGTTTACCATCCACGATATCAAACTACGGAGCACCGCTTTATGAATATGTAAAGTCCGTTAGAGGCGCCCCAGCAAATTGTTTGTGGATCGCATCAAATATTGACAGGGCGCTTGTAAATTTATTCACGGCCGAAATAATATATCGCGGCCGCCACACGCGAGGCCGGATAAGTTGAAATCCCGATTTTCCCTTCCGCGCAACGGGGGAAATGAGATTCTCATTCTTTTGTTTACGAGAAACGCAAAAGCCGCGATTGCGAAATCCTTCAATACCCCGAATTCCGAATTCACGGATTTGATATCGAAAATTTGGCGTTTCCAGATAAACCGCGTTCTCCCTTTCGTATTGTTAGATCTTCTTATCTCGGTTTCCAATTTTTATTCCTCGAATAGGTATCGTAAATTCTGTATTCTCGTATTTGTTCTCCAAACCTTGAAGCACCGAATACTACTGAATAATTTTCGTATCCTTAGAGAAATCCTAAAAAGAATTGTAAATTGTAGCATTTTACAACTTAATATGAATAATATTAAAATAAATAAACAGAATTTCTTGCTTTAGCGATAACAGTTGACGTTCAGAAATTAATATCAGCTGGGTAAAAATTTTATTTATTATTAATTTAAGAGAAAGACTTATTTTTCTTGCAAAAAGATATTGTAGAAACGTTAAGAAATTCAAAAAGGATTACAAGGGATTAGTTGGATTCAGCACTTCGGATGTAACATGTAGACTATATTAGCGACATAATTCTCTTGTGAATTCTCAACCCGTATAAAATGGGCTTTAGCAGCTAACATGTATCTGGGGACGTGTATTTCGACCAATCAGCAGAGTCGCCAATTAGGAAGCACGTGAGGAAGCTACAAGGACGATAATGAAAATAATAATTAGCCAGCGTAGCTGCGGTCCATTAATTGATTTGGCCACCGAATCGTCATCGTTCTGGATGGCCACTTAATTAACACGGCCGGCCAATCAAGCGGCCGTTTACTCCCCTAATCGCATTGACACTGTTCATTTTCCGCGACATGTTTATTCTTGCAAGATTCTCTTAGCAAATTAACTATCAAGAGTGCAAATGAATACCCAAATTTCATCTTTTGCGCAATATCTTGCGAGAGAGTTTACGTTATTAACTTAAATTGCTTTTGAAATATTCAAGAAAATAAATCTTGAAGGAAAAAATTACATAAATTGAATTTAATTTTTTCGAGTTTTAATTTAATATTTGTTATATATTTCTGTCAGCTTTCAACATCTCAAGTTAGAAAATTGTATAAAATTATATATAAAATTTCAATTGCGGCTTTCTGTTATTAAAATAGAAGAGAGGACACAGAATCTAAAATATCTTCCTGATAATCAAGATAAATCCAGAAACAGAAATTATTGCAGTGTTATTAAAAATATCACATAGATTAGCTATAAACTAATCGATGAGATCTGTCATAGGGTCGTTGGATTTCATAGAGACGTTGGGAAGGGATGCAGAAGGCAACAGGGTGATCGTGATGCGGGTCGCTATCGCGAGGATGATGACGCGTGATTTGTTGAATTATGACCGGTGCTCGGTCTGGCCGCAGCGATCGCCCTCGCGTGTTCACCCTTCCGGCATTACCATGGCAAATCAGATTGACGCACCCCTTTCGTGTGTACGAGTCACCGCCGTTGCTGCCGCTTGTTTTAATTACATCAAAAGCGATAGGCGACACGTCGCCCAACACGCACAGCTTGTCCATTAGGCACAAAACTCGAATGAGCATCGAAATCCTTCGCATATTACGCGCATCTTATATATGCCATGTACATCTTTACGACAATATTAAAGATTAAATTTTGCAAATCTGTCTTGATTTGTACGTAATATATGAAACAGTTTATTTTATAACGTCTTAACTATTACGTTATGTAGCAGCACAATTCGTAGTAATCATTTATCGATTTCATTCGATTCAGTCATGCGTGTGTTTGTTCATCGATGAAAATCATAATTCTTTCCTGTGCATTTAAATTTTTCAAATATATTCTGCTTTATGCGAGGCGTAGCTACTTGCAAATTGCGAATTTTCAAATACGCGATAATTTACGATCCTAAAGGATATGACCGTTCGATTGCCGGTGGGTAAAGTTTGCATTTCCTCAGGACATGGTAATTCTTTACCCGACTGTCAAAACTTCGTAGAACCTTAAAAGACTGAAAAATGACCTTTTAAGGCCGCGCGACGTGAACTATCAGGTGTCGAGACTGTCGATCGATCACAGGATAATTTTATTGATTACAGCCGGCGCGAGGGACGGCGGTGGCAGAAGGTATCCTGTGATTGTGTTCGTGCACGGCGAGAGCTACGAATGGAGCAGTGGAAATCCCTACGACGGCAGCGTCCTGGCGAGTTACGGAGGCGTCGTCGTCGTCACCATCAACTATAGACTCGGCATTCTGGGTAAGTCGTGACAGATGCCTTCGGTCCCAGTTCGGTAACATCCAGATCCCTCCAGTCCTGGAATCCTGGATTTTCAGGAGAGCCAAATCTCCTGTTTTTTGGACCTGAGAATCTTAGGACCTCTGTATCTTGTCTATCCTTGGATGTGAATAGACGTTTGAAATTCGGGAATTTCAACCTGTAAATCGTTAACGCGTTTATCTCCTCGGAGTCTTAAAATAGTTTCCTAATTCCTTCAATTATTGGATAATGGATTCCGACTCCCGGGACCTATTAAACTAAACATTAGTTTCTTTCAATTTCTTTACGCTTTCGGTTTGCCTTATAAAACTTCCAATTTCTAACTCCTTCAAAAATCTTTGATTTCCGTACGGATGCAGATCCTAATTGTTTGTCTTCGCTTCCTGTGGAATCGCCAATTTCTTAGATTTTTAATATATATGTATTTATCATTTCTTAGTTTCTGTACACATTCCTTCTCTCCCTTCTGCGTTAAACCTCGATAATTAATCTCGATTGCTGAGTCAGATATAACTTTTGCGAACTGTTCGGGAACTCAGATAAATCACATATGTTAGTTGCCCGCTTAATGGTGTGAAACGTTACCTCGCAGCAGTTAAGGTTTGAAACGAGCCAGTCGACCGTAGCTCATTAGCTATTTAGGGCCGGTTACACCAACGTCACTTAACACTAAGTGTGTTTACTCCATTTTCCTGCTCTATCCGCAAGCAACGTTCTAGACTAGAGGCTACGATTGCCAAAGGGATGACCGGAGTCGGGGTGTCGGGGTGTAACCGGTCCTTGAAACCGGTCAATTCTGTCATTAGTTCAAAACACGTACTCGCCTGTCCGAGATGCAGACTGCCATGTTCGCGCGCGCATTACGCCGCGAGAGAACGCCATTAGACAGAACTTGTTATCCCGTGACATTTGACGTGCGACGCTGCTCGCTGGCCGCGCGCGTAAGAAGCCGCGAAAAAAGTAGAAGACCATGAAGAAAACGGTGGTGAGAACTTGGCCGCGAACGCCACGGGGATTGCAAGTTCCGGCGACCCGGGTTGTTGCCTGGCAACCCGGGCAACCAAATCTAATAGGAAACTCATTACGGCCAGGTCTTCCGTTTCACCAAACTAAATTCTTGACTCCACCCTCTCTCTCCCTCTCTTTCTCCTCTCCCCCTCTCTCTCTCTCTCTCTCTCTCTCTCTCACTCACTCATCCTGTTCTTCGACGCGACAGCAAGCTCCGCTGTTCTCGTCTATCACCCTCGTTGCATACAGGGTGTCTTAAAGCCTTCTCGCCCTAAAATTTCAACGAAAGAAAATTAAAAACCACGAAATTCAAGCGGAATAAAGAATATAAAGAAACTGTTGCTTTAGATTAAAGCTGGACTTTTATTAAATTATTTTAAGATTTAATTATCAGTTAATCACACTGCTCTCGTAAAATACTATAAAATAAACGCTAAAAAAACAATTTATGTGTTACGGAAGAAAATGGCGAGAGGAGAGTGGCATTAAGGATACACTTCTCGTGAACGAATCCGAAAGGTGACACACGATGACAGCGCAAATAGTAAATCCAAATTCTGGAATTCGATTCTGTCGATAGCTAGATGAAAAACAAAAAGAGCCGCGAGAAAAATAACCACAGCGGGAAGCGGCGCCTGAAATGGCGACGCCCAGGAAATTCCACTCCGCAGCGCGGCCGTAGTAGTTTTTTTTCCTCGCGCACCCCCGGTTTTTTTTCCATTTTCCTTCGTTTCGGAAAAATGATGCGGCGCTTTGTGAGCGCCGCGCCGACCGGCGATATCCCGACCGAGCCCTAGATTCTCTCTTCGCCCGCGCGCGGGTGTATACCAGCGTGTACCGGAAAATTTAAATCAACGAATAGCGTTCAGCAGTTCCATTGTAACGAGAAGAATAGGAGACGCGGAAGCGCAGCGCGACAGATACGCCGGAGGTTGAATATCAAATGGGACATGACCGGTGCTTTATTTCTATTCCGCTTTCATGTTCTCGCACCTCTCTGGTGCGTGTGAGCGCGCGCGAAAGAGCTTTGTGCGTTTTTTTTTCCTCGCTCCTCCCGTTTCGACGTAGAGCGCGAAGAATCGTTATTGGATCGGACCAGACATTGCCCGAAGGCTAGAAGCCGTGAGAAAACGAGGAGACGCCGCGCCACCCACACGTCGTAAGATGGGGAAGATTGTACGAGGCGCGATGCAAACGTCCCATTACACAAAAGTCTCGGAAAATTCTAATCCTACTAGGAATTCAACGTCACAAAAGTCCAAAGAGAGACCTGAAAGAGCTACGAAAATCACACTTCTCAACAATCCGATCAATATCGGATTGCGTCACTAACGTCCGATTGAATGAAAGTCTTAGCAGACAGATACAACAAGCGATGAGAGAACGCAATCTCTTCTAAAACTTTAAACTGTAAGAAGTTCAAGGAAAGATAAGGAAACGTAAAAGATACGAATACTTTCTGCAAAATTTTTGAACAATAATTATGTCACGAGCAAATTAATGGAAAGATATTCCACTACGTACAATTCAATTTAATTAATTAATTGGAATTCAGTTGACCGCGGAGGACGAGGACTGATATTTATAAAACGTAGTCTGCAAGAGTAAAATTAAAAGACGAGACGTTTATTTAGCGTGTCTTTTCACCTTTATATCTTTGCATCGACTTCCAAAGTCGTGATATCTGTGATTTGTAAATAAACTTTTATCTATCTATCTACTTTATTTTTAAATCCCCAAAATTTATTTGCACAGTTTGTAAAAAATCCGCATCTATGAGCATAATATTATCAAAAGGATTATTTTTTATGAGAAAATTTGTTTGTATAAGGCTAAATAAGGTATATCAATATAGCTCAATCTTGTTTGCAATAATACAGAAATTCCTGAAAATGATACAGCGGTAAGTTTGTATATTAATAGTCTAACAAGACATTGCAAAAAATCAGATTAACAGAATTATAAAAGAAAACACATAAAAATGGGACTCTCAACAATTGGCTCAGACGGACATTTATTAAACAATCTGCAAGAAATACTAATCCTACCTAATTTTAAGGACTTGATGTGGGCCTACATAATCCTGTAAGGAAACTCGAAAAGAGGAAAGTTGGGCGTTTTTCCACTCAGCATGGCTTTCCAAATTATCGATTTGGCAAGGCTGGCGGGAAACAGTCGGCGCAACATCGTTGACCTAGATCCTGGCGACAGTAACGCCTCCCTTGTTAAGGTACCGAGTGCCCTAAAGTTAATGCGCACCGGCAAGTATATACGCGGCGGCTCATAATGGGAATAATCCTCTTAGCTCCGCGAAGAACAATCTCCAGTATGTCGGCGGGTAAATATGATGGATAATTTAATGGCGTGGCGTTTCGTGCGACGCGACGCGACGGAGCAAACATACCGACCAGGCGCAGAGGTCTTATTGGAGGCGGTGAAATATCACGTCCGAACTTGCCAGCAACAACAATCGCCGCTCACGCGATTTAATTCGGCTTCGGAATGAAAGGAGGGAAAAGGAAAACCCTCGAAGGGCCGGTCCCCTGATTCGATTAGCACTAATCTAATTTCCTCATCCTCTATCTGTATTAAAAGAGATTGGAACTAATTGACTACATGGACAGCTGACACTGCTGATATAATTCTAGGTTTCGTTTTAATTAGAAAATTAATAATTGAATAATTGAAGAATAATTTTTAAAAGTTATTCGTTAATTAGCAATATCGTTATACGTGAGAATAGTTATAAGAACCGTATATACCAATTTTTCCCATACTCTATAATTGGATCTGGAGGAGGAAGAGAAAATTAGCCACAATTACCGTACAATGTAATGAAAAGTATACTGGAATCATCTCGTTACTATTCAGAGCGCATAGTGTATCGAAATTTCTTCGTGCCTCGGGACTGGTATTCCAGTGTTCAACCGTAAGCTAGGACTATATGGAGAACCCGTCTCAATGGAACAAAATACGAAAATAAATATGCGCAAACCTGAAACGCTGGCAGATTTACGAATCCAGATTTATTTGGCGGAAACGGAAGGGAAGGAGAGTAAAGTCGGTCTATTGACGAATGTATTTCGACGAGGACAAAGTCGGAACACGGTTCGCGTATCACGACAATGCTGAACCCGACAAATCGTGTAAGACTGTCGCCAATGGCGCCATCCGGCCGTCATAAATATCACCTCGACTCCGCCAATTGATAGCGATATCACGCTCGGCGAAACGATACACAAAGTAGGACGTGATACGCGTCTGAACACTAAATCATACCGGCTGCTCGCCAGACGCGAGCCAATCTCTACATCCCACACAGCCATTTAGAGCCCTTTCACGGGAGGGCTGTGCTCGGCACGGGTAGCTTAAATAATTCACCTAACAAACAGTTGCAAAAATCAGTTAATAACTTTAAGCAATATGTGCGTAAATTAAGTTTGCACAACAATCTGAATCGTATTGGGATTTCTAAAACGAGTTATAATTTCAAACATAAAAATGGATTTTTTAGAACGTAGAAAAACAATCTGTTGTAGTTAATTTGACTAGCATATTGTCAAAACGTTTAATAACCATTAAATAATATTACTATTTTTTGTATAAAAAAGATATATAAAATACGGAAACAATATGATTGAATCAATTATTAATTAATATGGATAAAAATAATTTGCTATACAAATCTTTAAGATTTAATTTTCTAAACAATTAAACACAATTGTATCTTTAAGCATAGAAATAATAAAACTAATAACTAAAATTATACCTCTGGAATTATATCTCTAGAATTATATACCTCTCTTATTTCTCAGTTTTCCCATATAGATATAACTAATCCCAATTTCATTGTATCCCACGATTTATCTCATCTGTCATTCGATAGTCCGCGACATGCGACGATTGGAGTTAAGCCCATCGGCGGTAATTCCGGTGCGATCACGGTGATGTTATACTAGCCGTAACCGTCGATAATGGACACCAGGAGCGTTGCGCTTGACCATAAGCGGGGCTTGTTTTGATTGCAGGCTTTCTAAACGCCAACACAGACTCGCACTTACGCTCACCGGCGAATTACGGTCTGATGGACCAGATCGCAGCGTTACACTGGGTACAGGAGAACATCGGTTATTTCGGGGGCGATCCCAAAAACGTCACGTTGGTGGGACACGGCACCGGCGCCGCCTGCGTGAACTTCCTGATGACCAGCCACGCGGTTCCTGACGGTGAGTCACAGCTTCCATTCTCGCAATGTTCTTAAATTGAATATTAACACAGGAACGCTTCTTTCCGTGATACATTCCATAAATAATTAATAAAAAATGAGTGCAAAGCAAATAATCTATATTAACGAACTTTATAATAGTATAAATAAACTGCAAACAATTTTTAATAAACGAAATTAACTCACAATTCCCAATAAATTCACGGAAAATGCAATTAATCTACATATGTGTAAAATACATTTTGTACACATATCACGATAACAAAATATCGCATAGAGTTTTATTTAGAGAGAATAAAACGCGTATTTTGAAAAGTCTCTTGAACTCGGATACTTGTACAAAAATGTTCTTGTAACGGGTTTATTGTCTTGGATCGACCCATAGAAAGCTGTTTCTCTTGTCGCGTCGCATGGAAACAGATAATGTCACGTAGAAACGGTAGAGTGTGCGAGAGGAAGGGAAACGGGAGAGGTTGGAGGGTAGAGGTCGAAGAGCGAGAAGCTGCACTGAGACAATGATACGGAGGAGCTAGGAATAATGGGGTGGTTTACCAGACGCCATAAATTATGGAGGAATCAGCTGGCCCCACCACCATTGACAACTCGCAGCTGTAGTGAATTATCATCCAGAAGGTCCTCCGACGATAAGCTTTGCGGTTCCGAAACAGATTGCGATACTCTATTTTTTGTCCCTCTCTCGAGCTCTGATAAAACCGGCTACTATGTGACTCATCGAAGAATACGACGAAGAATAATAGCGAGCGATATCCGGCTAAAAAATTATATTGTATCTCTTCCTTAGTTAATACTGTTTTCGCGCAAGAACTAACCGCGATTCCGGTGATAAATAATATAAAGCACAATAAAGTTTAAATTCTCTGTTAAATCTTTAATTTTTTCCGAGAATTCTAGATTTCTTTAAATTTCTGCTCTCAATTGCTAAATTTAAAACAATCCGTGATATTTCAGTATTCTGGAATTTGAAATATTTAAATTCCTTGATTTTTCTAATTCAGATTTCTATAATTGATCTAGGTTTCTCTTATCCCCATTTTTCTTTCCCGTTATCCTTCATTGAATATGTGCATCTCATTTGTCCCTCATATCTTGTATCCCGGCTTTCACAAATCCCTAATTTTTTATTTCTTAGTTTCTCGTTTTCTTTGATTCTGCGCCTTGAATAATTTATACGCTTGAATCTTTGGACTCTTGGCTTCTCCTCTCAAATCTTGATCTCACGATTTTTCAATTTCTCGATTGCTTCAATCCCGCGAAACTTAACTTTCTTGGTTTTCAATCTTTTTTTGTAATCTTAATTTTCTCTTTTTTTTCTTTAAATCCTGATATTCCTGATATTCTCAATTTCTCGTTTCCTTTGACCCTGTAACTTTAATTCGTCGAACGCCTGGCTCCTGGGATCTCTTGTTCCCTCGAAGGAATTAATTAATCCTTGGGTATTATGGAGACCTGCCATTAAATCCAAGTAACGCGACGGAATTTGAGCCGGCGATAATCCTTTAATAGTCCTTTAATGTCGCGAGCTTCGACACCATCTTATCGTTCGGTGTCGTCCCTCTCAACGACGACGGATATCGGAAGAACGGGGCCATCTTGATTCTGTAATGTCGGAAATACGTCGAGGATGCCGCCAGGATATTCAGAGTTTACCCTGGTATCTCCTTCGCTAAATGAATGAGAGCGAATCAGATGTCGACGTGTATCGGGCTGATAAGATCGCTCCCGAAGACACATTCCATCGAATATCAAAAGATGGCCGGCCGACCGAGCTACGATTACACGTGGAAAAACAATGCTGTCGCTTTTTATTTGACCTTCACTTTATAGCTTTAACACAGATATTGCAAGAGTATGATAACGAGATGAGGAAATTAATTGGCTATCGAACAAATTTTTCTTGTATTGTGGGCAAATTAATAATATATAATTATATAATTTACAATAAGTAAATAAAAAATTTAGTAATAATAATATTGAAAATGATAATATGATATATTAATAATGAAATAACAATATAGAAATAATTGAGACAAAATTTGTCGGTTATAGATTAATTAATTATGAATAATCAATAAAAAAAGTTTTCATATACCTTCTGATTAACACTGTAAACGTCGAGTTCTAGGTATATGTAGCATCTTTCATAGAATCTCTCGTCTTCTCGAGATATCAAGATTAACGACTCACAAAATTGGGATTAACCGACTTATCCCAGTCTTCTGTATTAAATAATAGACGAACTAACACGACGAAGCTGTGTAACCGTCGTGTTCGCCCTGCCGCCTTAATTTTCTTCGCGCTGCAAACCGTGCACTCTCTTGTCTATTCATGTCTTACGTAATGTCCAATTTTGCGACGTGTGAGATGAGAAAATTAATGACTAATAACCCCTGCTCGACTCTTTGTTGTACCAAGATATTACGTACATTTTATTATTAATACCGAGGAGAGAAACTTGTAATGTTTTATTTTCCCTCGGCTTCCCTGTTACAAGAAATAAAAATTATTAATTAAATAGAAGGATGTTTCAACAGCACAGGAAAATAAATAAGAGTTCATTTACTTAATTATTAATTTTCCCCTTTACGTAACATTAACATAGAAATAATGACATAAAAACCAGTGTAAAAATATGGAAAATAATAATCAATCAAGTAATTTTTATAATTTGTATGCTGATACAAGGCAGATTACAGCTTAAATTTTCTCTATAAAAGGGAATTCGATTATTTATTTTGATTTTCGATTTAAATTATTTGCATCTTGCACATGTGCGTGTTTAACTGCAGCAGTGGTGTCGAAATTAGATTTTGTAGATTTTTTAATACCGCGGTCCATTTATCTATTTTTTTTATAGACATCTTGTATATGGCCACGTTTGGCGAGTCTTGCCCCCTCATCTTTAAAGCGGAAATCGCTGATAACGTCGTAATGGAAGTCGTTGATTGGAAATAAATCTATCGAGCGGTCGGGATGAGTATTCGTTACTATGCATTGAAACTCGGATTGTATTTCGTTTACTCAGGTAATATCGTAGTTCCGTCCGCGGAAGGGAATCGACCTCGAAATCATCTCGAAATTCAATTTTGCGTCGCGATATATAATCTCTTCCCGCGCGAACAAACACCTTTGCATTACGGGATACGATTTGCAGATCCTGAGATAAAGCGCGAGCACCTTTCGAAAAGTGCGACACAAAGAGACCTCCACGCGTCGCACGGATTCCGGGAATCGCGTCTTGAATCGCAGCGATTCTAAAGATATAGAATTTTCACGATGCAGAGTATTTCCGGGGAAACACATTTTCTGGTGTACACAAAGGGGACGCAAGAATCGCGACGTTGCTGGAACTGCGTGCGGAACAATAATAATGGACGCGGGAAAATACTTGGGAACTAAAGATCTTACAAAGTATACTGTTAATAATTATTAACAGTATACTTTGTAATTAATTATACCTCTACTTAAGTTTCCGCGCCGAGCAAAACGCTCAAGCCAAAGTACTTACTAATAACGTCTTAATAACCGCGGAAGACTCCCATTTATTTATTTATTATTATTAGTGAAAATAACGACTTTTAATTAATATCCTTTACAAAGTTAAAACTCTATCACGGTTGCAAAGGCTCGTAACAAAACCTTACGAAACTGTACGTGACATCAACGTGGTGACTCGATTGCAGGTCTGCTGTTTCATCGGGGCGTTCTGATGTCGGGTAGCGCGCTTTCACCCTGGGCGTTGGTGAGAGGCGCCGCCAATTACGCCATGCAGGTCGCCAAACACCTAAATTGTTCGTCGGTGAGTACCAGCAAACATGTCCTCCCGATCGCGCCGAAATTATCCCGCGCGTCAGCCTATAATTTCATTAGCCCTTCTGCCACCCACTTCCACGCCACATGAGTCTCTCCCCTCAAAAATAACGGCACCTCCGTCTAGCAAATTCCACTTCCGTGGAATTTAGCGACACGGTAATTTAAATTATTTGCATCTTGCACATGTGCGTGTTTAACTGCAGCAGTTGTGTCAAAATTAGATTTTGTAAATTTTAAGACGAAAACTTTTGGGTAAATTTTCAGGCGAATTCTACAAATAGATACTAAATCCAGAAAATGAAATTTATGACGTGGAGAGGATTCGAAGGGAAAACTTTGAAATTCAAAAGCTCCGAGAGCAGATTTTGACTTTACGAGACAGCGGACGCGCGGTGAATCCAGCGTTAAATTTTCGGTTAAATTTCGTTTATTTTCGGTTTACGGGGTGAGACTGATCGACAGGGATGTACCTGTTATATTTCACCGTGTGTCGACACTCTCGCCGGCGTTAATTCTTATTCGCTCGTTTTCGTGCTCGCATAATTCGCGATAATTCCGATCGTCGGCGGCGAAACGATCGCGTAAAAGCGGACGGGCATAAATTAAAATATCAAATGCGAGTATATTCGCGCACCCGGTGTTTTTACAGCATTAATTACGCAATACCAATTATATTAACGGCGCGTTTCAATTAAGCTAATATACACTCGAGACATCGGCCCCAATAGGCGAGTGCGCGCGCACTTTCAATAAAAGGGACGTTAAATTTCGCAAATTGCAGACCGGGCGATGCAAATTTGGTGCGCGTACAACTGCGCTGTAGCGTAGCTGCAACAATTATTTCAACAGTTAGAAATTTCTTGATTGCTCGAATAATATTTCATATATCAATTTTAACAAGCAATGACATTAAAACATGAAATTATATAGCTCGAATTTCAATAAGAGATACCACCGCACCGCTATTGCACAGATTCATCATTCTCACCCAGAACTCGCACCCTTCTTCTTCTCTTTTCCATTCCTCTCTTTTTGCCCAGATACGCTCTTGCGCTACGAGCCATGAAAAATATGTTGTCCTCGGTTGACGGTTATTTTATTAAAGGTGAATTACGTACTTGGCTCACTTTATAACCGCAGAGCCGTCCGTGACGTATCCCTTATTGAAATTGATATGCAGCGCTGTAAATTCCGGCGACGGTATTCCCGATCTCCTCGTCGGGAGGAGAGCCTTCGATATCTACAAGCCCCCCGCCGCCGTAGCGTTTTCTCGTCCATCAAAAATAACGCAATAAAAGATAACCCGGTTTCGACAGTGTTTTTCCAATTCGAACTCCCCCCCCCTCCCCACCCACCCCCCTGGATATTTCGGGCGTGTGGACGAGGGCGGACGGGGGAAAGAGGGGAGGGGGTGGAAATAAAATTGATTCCCGCTACAAGTTCGCCGATCCGAATGGCATAATATAATCCCCATCTCAATTTCCATTTTGCGCGGTGCCATTTTTTCCACGGGGTGCTTTTAGGAACATCGAGAAACAATTGCCGCTTAATCCTCGTTTAATGGTTACTTTCAATCGCGAATCGCGGCATTTAGGCCCGGATAATCCCTTTTTTGCGAATAACAATCCGCAGCATTTCATTCCGCAGAATTGATATTATTTGGAAAAAACAAAGTAAAGGAAAGAGATTCCAAAATTTATATATTCAATTTCGTTTTTATGTAAACTGTCCTTTCAGTATATTCTTCTCGAATATTCTCTAGTTACATTTATCTTCTAATGATTTATTAAACAAAAAGATTTATTTTTGCAACAACATTCTTGCCACGTTCATGCAACAAATACTTCCTCATTTATTAGAAAAATTTTTATTTTGTTTTTTCTTCCATCCGTTTATCGTGCACGATAAACGGCGCATAACGCGCGAGATAGCTCACGTGGCAAATCGCCCGAGCATAGCGGAAGACGTTTCAGAGTTGACGCGTTTCGCGCGGAATGTGCGGGATCGCGTCGGGAAAGGGTCGACATTTTCCGGCGGCATTTCCCGAGGTGGATACACACCGTCGGAACAAGGCGGTCGTGCCTTAACGAGGCTACCACCCCTGTGTACGCAGGGGTGCACACACCGTCGCGCCGCGTCGCGCCGGCAGGATAAACAAGATTTTCGTGCGTCGCTCAGCGGAATTCAAACGGCGCCGGAGCCTTGGTCCGAAGAGCTGGACCGAGAGGCCGTTGCAGCCGGGCACGGCGATTCGCTTTAATTTCGAGGTCGCACGCAAATGAATTGCTTTACCGTCGGTAATCGTCTTTGGAAATCCAGCTTCCAACGGCAGACACGAGCGGCTAACCGCAATCGAATGTCGAGTCTCCCGCTGACTAAATGTGAACGTCCTGCGTGTGTGCAAATTGCCCGTGCCGCGCGCACGCGGACGGGGCACCGCCGATGTTCATCGAACGAGGAGAGAGAAGCGCGTCTGATTGTCTGCCGATTCTCGGTCCCGATAAAATTACCCGGCACAATCGCGTTAAATGTTACGACTTAATAGGATATCCCGCAGCCCGCGGTCTTAATTGTAATGACAGGTTCTATGGCCAATCTGAAGTTTCGTTTTCGTTGAAAATGCCGAGGGAGAGATTATTAATCATGATCATTCGTTTTTGATATTGCTCACAATTGTAATTAAATTTAATACATCACGTAATTACGTCTTACTGTTATAATTAAGCATAATTATAATTCTGTTTGTATTAAATGAGTAATATGATTTTGTTATTTATTTGTTTCCCTGAGACTCAGTTTCCAAAATTCTATCTTCTTTTAATTGATTATACGCGGAGATTGTCGTTATCTTATTTTCACTGCAAGAGAAGATATGGAGAAAACACGTTAATGCCTCTCTTTCTTACGCTTATAAAGTATAAAAAGCTAAAATGTGGTAATGGAGAATCCCTGATCGCGCGTTATGATCCTTCTAAAGTGTTGATTTTATTCTGTCGCAGGTAGCGGAAGATCCTCAGGCCCTGTTGAAGTGCCTGAGAGACGTGTCCTTGAGTGAATTGGTATCGGTGCCTGTTAAAGGGCTGGAGTTCGCGCCGGCCTTTGGCCCCAGTATAGACGGCGTCGTAATCGATCCCGGCGATCCCGAGGATCAGGACTACACCCTGCAAGTCGACACGATCAATACGCTCAACAACATCCTTCTGAGGAAGGACGTCGTGGCGAAACTGTCGAGGTATCGCAGCTCCTCTTTTTGTTCCAATCGTTATAACTAGCAAAATCGAGCATCGGAGCAAGAGAAAATAAATAGCGCGAGAAACAATACCGGAGTTTCTGCAGAAATATCACGAAGAAAGATAAAATCGCATCCTGCGACGTCGAGAATTCCTTTATTCCTCGGTGGAAAATACGAAAAGCTCGCGTAAACAAGACTGTTAAGATTGAAAAATTTTAGGATTCAAAGTGCCAATGGAAAATTCCAGGTGTTTAAGAATCCAATGAATTTAATTTCGACATACAGTTAAAACTTTTTACATTAATTATTTCGTAATTTGTCAAATTTTCTATTATTCTAATAAATATTGTACAATATATTATATTTTCATGGCGTCAGAATTTCACATACATAAACAGAAATGCGATCCTTCAAGATTTGCAGACTCCATAAAAACGAAACTTTTCGTACCTCAGGAAGCTTTTCATACTTTAAGATAAAGCTTATAAAATCCCGAAAATGTTTTGTAAATCGCAAACTTGTTAATATTTTGTAAAACTTCCTTTTTAAACAATGTGTAAAGAAAAATGCTTCAATTCATAGGTACGATTTGATGGTGGGTGTTGTTCGTTCCGAGGCATATTTTTCGTTAACCGCCGACGATGCTCAGTATGGAATCGAGGCTGATAGAAGGACAAAGATCCTGCGTGAATTCGTGCGGAACACGTACACGTATCACCAGCCGGAAATCCTAGCGACCATAATAAACGAGTATACGGACTGGGAACGACCTGTGCAACATCCCGTCAATATTAGGTAAATCCCGAGGAAATTTAATTGAAAATAAATTTCATAACAACGTTCTTTTATTTATTTTAATTGCTGTCATCTATCTATTTTAATTAATCTCCAGCCATTATTTATTTTATTGATAGCGAATAAATCAGCCGTGATATAAATTTATTTTTTGTCGTATATTTATTAGATTTTCAATCTACAATTATTTGTCTCACTATTTATTAAAAATATATTAAAAACTAATGTTTATTCATTTAAAAAGCTTGTTTTAAAATCTTTATTTTTCATCAATATATCCATTATTTTTTCTATAAAATAAATACGCATAATTATATATATACATGTATATATTTACGTATTATTTTAAATTTTATAAAATTTTTAAAAATTATATTTTATAGTTTACTAATTTGAGTTACATCATCCATTTTATAATTTGTTTTAATTCAAAACTCGGGAGAAATTTACAAAGTATATTTCTAAAAACCTCAAAGAGGATATATACACCTTTTTTCAGAGACGAGACTCTAGAGGCCCTGGGGGACGCGAATACGGTCGCTCCGGCGACGAGAACCGCGGATCTTCACAGCCAATCCCATAGGAATTCCTATCTATATGTCTTCGACTATCAAACGAAATTCGGAGACTATCCTCAGGTTCGTTATCAGAATGTACTTTTTATCGCACAAACTGGAATGAAAATAATTGAAAAAATTTAGACGCTACAAAATCTAGAGAATAAAAGACATCTAGAAATATATCTAATTACTTTTCAAATATTACACATATTTTTAATATTATTTATCTTCTTGTGGAAATTGTGGAATTTAATAATAAATATGTCGTGCGATAAATTTTGCACAACCTTTATAGACTTTAAATATGTATAAGAAGCTATACACATATTAAAAAATTCTATTAATAAAAAGTAGAGCGTAATAGAGATAAATTCGGTTTATTCGTACGTACAATCTCTCATCAATTTTTCATATTATTTATTTATTAAAGTTACTTATAACGCCTATATACGAGACAGAAGTTGGGATTCACCGGAAATGCGACAACATGGCGGCGACTCTTGTTCATATCTGATTTCAGAAACTTACGATGCACGTACGACCCCTTTCCTCCCTCATCCTCCCTCCACCCCTTTTCCTTTACCTACTCCTAGTTTCGAACTTTGAATGAATTTCGCAGTGGTGCGATTATTAATGCCACATATATTAGCAATATCCACTCTCCTCTTTTCCGGTCTTGTCTAACAAGAAACGGATGTGTAGAAGGAAATCCGAAAATTGGACCGATGAGATCAGTTATTACCGTTGCGCGAAATTTCGGGATATTATTTCAAGATATGTATTCTTGATGCGCATTAGGCATGAGTCTGTGTAAACCGCGTTTTAGTTAACCACACACCTCGCGTACATGCGCGACAAATACACGGAGTGAAGGAAATACAAATATATATATAATGTGTATAAATATAACGCACAAGATACGAGGGATTTGGAAATCCAAAAATTGTCAGGTCTTCGAGGAAAATAATAATCCACCTCTTGAAAATTTTCTTCGACTTTTCACGAAAGGTTAAAATTTGCTAAATAAATTATCGCACCCCTTCATATTTATCCGCCCCCGTAAATTCGAAAAACAACGGCGAAGAAGTGGAATTTTAAAGAAGCGCCAAACGGACGGAAGGGGCGGAGAAGGAGGATTTGAAATTCCACGTTCGCCTCGCACCTGCAGCTCCCGCGCACTTTTTCCTTCCCACCCCATGCCGTCATTTCTGCCGGCACCTTTATGCCTTACACCCGGTGCACTTTGCATACGAATATCGTCTGGCACCTCGACCTGGCGATCACCGTTGCCGTCACCGGCGAAATGAAAGTGCATTAAACGTTCAACGCGCCCCCGTCGTCCCCCTGTTTCCCTCCCTCCCCACCTCCACCCCCGGTCCTGTCTCGCGCCACGAAGCCAACGAAGAATAAGGATCGCGCGTAAACGCTGCAACGAACTTATTGCGTCTGCACGACTGCATCCAGAAAAACGTTTCGGTTGCATTCGCAAAACGTTCGTTTTGCGAGAATATAAACGCTAACTGGGATATTTCATATTCCCTGTGCTATGAAGTGAAATATATAACTCCGACATTGAGACATTTTTAATGTGTATTTCATATTGCAAGGAAGCTAGTTTCGTATTCCGCTCAACTAATCGATACTTAATTGTAAAATGAATCATAATAGATTAATATATTGATACACGTTAATACATCGAAATGATCGTGATCAAAAGAGTAATTATTTCCCGCTTAATGAATGATAATTTAATTGATTACTGCTATTATTCATTAAGCATTCCAACAGTTTATTCTGTAATTATTAACATCAACCGCCAATTGAGTTACTCCAATAATCATTATTGGATCATATTTCATTCTTGGATTTTGAATTAAAGCGTAAAAACCACTTTCAAAATCTACTATAGGCGGAAACACGATCCCGCTATTTCTCGTGAATAATTTGAATTTTTCGAGGACACGAACTCTGCACTCGGGCTTGTTAGAATGGCAGGCAAACGCGAAGTTTGCGGAATAGGCCGAGGTATTTTTACAATTTCAACGAGAAATCGTGGGTGCTTCTGGGACTTTGGCAGATTCCACGAGCGCTTTCGTATGATCGAGCGCGAAAGAGGATTCTCCGACCTCGGAAAAATTCTTCTGAATTCCGCGGTTAGTTCGGTCCGCGTTCCACCGTCCCTTTCACCCTCCCGCCGGTTGGACCATGCGATTGAACTGTTAAAGTGCCTCAAATCAAAGTCGTCTCGAGTCGACTAATTTTTTTATCTGTCATCTTGAGCCGAAAAGAACAGAGAGAAAGAGAAATAGAGAAATAAACACGCAAAAAATTATTAACATATAATATTATATACAAAAAAAAATCTAAAAATAACAGCAGAAAGAGAAATAAATTCTTATTTTTGCTGTTACTTTTACATCTATTTATATTTAATTTTAAATGTATTCTTATTGTACACCATGTCAATTATTCTTTTAGAGGCCGGGATGTATCCACGGGGAGGAGTTGCCATATTTTTTCGGAGCGCCCCTGGTCGGAGGAATGTCCCATTGGCCAAAGAACTATACTAGAGCCGAGACAGCGCTCTCCGAGAGCGTGATACTCTATCTGACAAACTTTGCACGCACCGGGTAAGTTGTCATAAAAGTTGCCATCTTTCGCAACGCTCAACGTAAAATAAAAGATCGATTTGCTATTAACGATCCTTCTCGTCAGGAATCCGAACGAGGGCACTCCTGATCCTGGACCCCTCGGTTCCAGACCGGAGAGGACCAAGTTTAAAAATATCGACTGGACCGCTTATGAGGCCGTCCATAAAAAATATCTTAGCATAGGTAAGCTGTCCTCTATGACGTTGCTTTTTAATTCTAATATTCTTTTATTAAATCTTTCCGTCGTATTCAAGAAGATTATACCTTTTTGATAAATTTCTTTTTAATTAATTTTCTCTTTTTTTATACAAAAAATGTATTAAAAATTTTTAAGTTTTATGTACATGTTTTCATGGCACAAAAATTATTATAATAATATGTATATAAAAGTAAACTAAATCGCTCATACTTTAACTTTATAGAACTCAAATCGAAACTGAAGAACCACTACAGGGCCCATCGCCTTTCGTTTTGGCTGAACTTGGTGCCTGACCTTCACAAACCCGGCTCGGACGATGTTCCTAGGTCGCATCATCTTCTCGACGCCGAGCAGGTATTGTCATAAAACAATTAATCGTACTAATTAATCGTACAACTATCAAAATCGAAACAAGCTCAGGAAGAATCGTATTCTCCAGGTGCCACCCAGATTCATTCAGAGGCTGCCAACAACCACGAGAACGACCACCTTGGAGGTAACTTCTATCGAGAAATCCTCGTCCAACGTATCAACGGCTATGCCGAGCGAGATCACTTTCGAGGACTCCACGGCGTTACCGGAGGACGGCTTCGCGGCGTATTCCACCGCCCTGAGCGTGACAATCGCGATCGGTTGCAGCCTGCTGATCCTGAACGTGCTCATTTTCGCCGGGGTGTATTATCAGCGCGACAAGAGCAACCACCAGCACCACGGCTGCTCGAAGAAGCGCCAGGAGAACGGCCAGATGCCGAACAACATTTGCGGCGAGCTGGAGACCAAGACCGCCGAGCGACACCACATCCAGCACATACCGCCACCGGAGTTCGCCGACCTCCAGAACAATACCTGTCACGTGCCTATGCCGCCCCCGCCACCGAAGAACACGAAGCCCGGCAAGCCTGGTCAAAACCTCATCATTAGTCCCAACCAGCTCCAGCAGGAGAGCCTGGCCATGACCGGCACCGGGACCTTGAAGAAGGGACACAATCACCCTCAGGTCATGGAGGAGCTAAGAGTCTGACTCTAGGAGACCGCGCGGCTACCGAACTAACATGGCCGCGAGGAAATTAAGATCTTGAAACAAGAGTCAAGGAATCACTTTGCAATGGAATCTCCATTATCAATCTGACCATGGACATAATCAGGATACTCAAGAAGTAATACAATCATTGCCAGGTCACAAGGAAGCTGCGAGTCAGACTCTAGCGAATGCCGAAACTTTTAGATTAGAATCTTGAGACCCGTCGAGTGTCGGGAAACCGTATAGATGGCTCTTCGGAATGTTCTTCGTCGTCGGTTTGGCCATCAGAAGTGGCCACCAGAATCCTACAGACGAAACCGCAAGACGATTAAAAGAGACAAAGTCTGAAATCAGAAACGGCGAACTGTTTCAGGGATAATGCTTTCCGCTGATGCTCGACGGAAAATGGGACAATTCTTCAAAGTTTTTCGAAGCGACCGTGATATTGTCGATAGATAGGAAGTGATAAAGGATGAAAAGTAAATGAAGGACTTTCATTGTTACGTGAGAAGTACATATTAGTGCAGGGGTGTAACCGAAATTCGAAGCCAGGAAGCCAACTGGCTGGCCTCTATACAGAGCCAGCAAAAGTCGAAGTCTGGCCGTTCGGGCCGAAGCAACGTTGTTTCCATTCGCTATGCCCCTGTGTTAGTGGCAACGCCATACTGTTATCGTTTTCTACCTTTCGAATTTGCGACCAACTGCCGAAAATCACATAGTCTTCGACGGATAGACAAATCTGCGTTAAGTAGTACTCTTCATCCTCAGAAAAGACCTCGTATTTCATATTTCTTTTTGTCATTTTTCATCTTGTTATATTCTCCTTTTCATTTTATAATACTTTTTTTTATTTTATTTAGGTATAATACATATTTATTTAAGGATTCTAATTTTTAATTACTAAAGACTGACATCTTCTTTATTTCGAATTTCATTGTAAAAATTTATTATAACTAATTAATAAGTAATTTCCTTACGCGCACAAACTTAATAATCAGAATTAATAGTGCTTTCTTAATCTGCTTTTATTTTATCCGGTGTCTTTTTCTCCTTTTCCCTCTCTTTTTTATTACCCTCCCATAATATAGACTGAAGGTTCGAGCCGATTTGAATCGTGCCGACACTGTCCTCGTTCTTCCGAGTGATGATGATTATGACAATGGTTCGAATCGCTGCCACGACGATTCATTTCTATGACGTCGATCGTTCAAATGCTCAATTAAATACTTAATTAAAAATTTCTTTTTCTCAATAATGATGTGACTAAATTTTTATAAAAATCAAATTTATTCTTAGCAGCAAAATTTTGTCACGAAGTAAAGATTGACAGAACAAAATTTCAGTAAATTATAATTTCGTGAAATTATTATAATGTTCTTGTGATTTTTTGCAAATTAAAATATAAGATAAAATTAAGACAAATTCCTGCACAATAAAAATTTGATAAATTTCTGAAACAGTTTCAGTTGAGAATGGAATCAATTTTTCTTTTTACTATAAGAATAAGAAAAAGTCGAATGATCGACGACACTCAACAGTATACTGCCAAACGATCGCAAATTAAGGAAAAATTGCGAATCGTTGAACGGAAAATCGTGATAAAAGTCAAAATTCAGAAAACAGAAGGCTGCTGCGATAGAAAAGAAACGCGTTGTTTTTAATACATCAATGTTTTACAAAAATAAGACAACTGCAAATTTAATCAATCCTTGTTGTTTTAAATAGTTATAAACATTTGCAAAAAAAAATTATATGCGAGGCAGGCATTCGCATGTAACAATTAATTGACTGTAAACTACTTTGTTGAAAACTATTTCGAAAAATTATAAAGACTTTATTAAACGTTATTCTTTATTTCAATTTTTATACTGATTTCACTAATCTCATATCATTCGTCTGTCAGTTTCGTATCATTTTTAAGACTAGCAAGTAACGAAAAGACAAAGAGATTAAATTTCTAGAGTTGTCCTATTTTTAAAGGATTAAATTTTTTGAATATCTGAACAGCGACAGGCTGTTGAAGGATCTTTCGAATGTAATTTCAACTGTAAATAAAGATTAATTAAGTTTAGGTCTGTCGCTGATGCGCTGTTAACGAGTGAAGGATACCGAAGAGCTCGGGAATAGCTCCGATTGTAATAATATTGCACATCGATGAGAAAAACGGTATGTCAGCGTAGTCAGAAGCACACTGGACGTAATTTTAAATTTGTATATAATTGACATTACAATAAACTATATAATAAATCATCAATCGTTTAATCGAACCTATCCCAAAAATCAAACTATTATATTTCTATCAACTTACAAAAAAATTAAAATTGTGCGTTGTCAAAGGCTTATTTGTACAAATGCAAAAGCTGAAAAATAATCTGAAAAATTAGCTGCTCATATTAATCTGTGTCCATTTTTGATAGACGATTTCCATTTAAATTATAATCTCGCAAAGAAATTGTTGTACAGATATTTTTGATTAAGATAATTTAGAAGTCTAAGAATTCCAAGGATTTTCTGGTGAACATAAAACTTTATTCGTTCATTCGTTGAAGCTCTACGGTTTAAATATAGTAATCGCGACACACATGTTATGACAAGTTTGCAAAATTCCATTCGCGAGAACCTCGGATTCGGACTAACACGAGGCTCCATCTAAGACACAAGGTACAAAAAGATGGGGTTGGTTCCTTCACCTCGACAAACGAACCATCGACGATCAGAGACACACTTTCGACTCGCTTTTAATGGCAGTTAAAGCGAATGCCTAAACTCGCTTTTCCTTAGAACTCCTCACGATACAAAGATTATTTTTTCAAGATTAAAAATTTGTAGTTGAACCTATACAATAAAAAAACTAAAATAAAAATTAGATAACATAGATTTAAATCACAAATAAAATAACATTTAAAATTATAGCGGAGTGAAATATTATCGATCTTGTAGTATAAATAGTAATACAAAAATTCTTGCGATTGTGAAACGATTACTATCGTTATTTTGAACGTACTATTTCAAGTATATTTTCATTAATTAGTGAAAGCATGCAGTCTATTTTTACAAATATTGCGGACAATCAAATATAAAGAATAGAAAATTGTCAACATCTCTCTGATCGTGGTTCGTTATGCGGACAAAAGCGCCTTTGTCCGCACAAAACACGCTATCCTGTTCCCTCTAATTGTTCACAATAATACGGTACATTCTGTGTATGCATTTGTTACGTTGCTATGTAGCATGAAGCTGAAATGATAATCCCGCCGTTGCTACTCGACTACGATTTTGTCTTACGGTACAGCAAACAAGAAACAATAGCAAAAGGACCGCTCCTCCTCTCGCCATGACATAACCACTCCTATAAGTTTGTTTCGACATATTTATATATTTATATACCTTTGTAATATATATATATATAAGTCGTAAATGCACTTGAGGCTCCGCTCTAGCCGGAACGTTCGCTTCCAATTGTCCCACTCCAATTTAATTTATCTTAATTAAAACTAATCTGTTATTTGTTGTTATCAAATCCCTCTTTCAGCACCATATTAAATATTAAATTATAATATTATATTATTTATCAATATTATTTCAAAATATTAAGTAATCAACAATATCAATATTAATATCAAATGAGGCTCTTAATTCTTTAATGACAATTGATATTAAAAATTCATTAATTCCACAAATTCTTAGTTTAATACTTAACTTCAGGAAATTAAACTATTTGCAAATATTAAAATGTAATAAAGACCTAATATACAGGGTGTCCCAAAATTTCGTGAATCAAAATATTATAGCAAGAAAGTCTTCGAAAAATTAAGTAAAAAGTTATGTGTAAATTTTTATTTTAAGCAGTAGTTTTTGAGATATAATACTTTAAATTCAGCCAATTATAGATTAGCATGCACGTAAAGTGCGCGACCATTAACACTATCGACGCGCTCACGGACATGCTTCCGTTTAACCGTAATTTATAATTGGCTAAATTTAAACTCTTATATCTGAAAAACTACTGCTTAAAATAAAAATTTATAAATAACTTTTTTACTTATTTTTTCAAAGACCTTGTTACTATGATATTTTGATTCGCGAATTTCGAAACACCCTATATAATAATGCAATATCTAATATAAAATAAGATAGTGATTGTTGATAATTAAAAAAGCAACGTCAGTTACCAATAAGGTATCAATCAATTAAGAATTAAAGTGATTACATTATAAATTCGTTATACGACGATCATTTCGACTAGATCGGTATACATCGGTTTACTTATCAATTACATTAAGGGAAAGACATTGCCCGCAATTATTTCGAATCCATCGATTTTTAGACTCTAAGTCGACTCTAAGTCACTATCGCGGATAGGATGGCTGTCCTTTTTAATGAAGAGACCGTTCGCATCCCATTTGTAATAAATTTGTATATAATTCTTTATATGTTTATAAATTTATGAATTTATAAATTTAAAGATATTTATAATATAATAAATTTCCGCGATCGCATTTTTTCACTTTGTTACAGTCTTAGATCGTAGGCAAAATGTCTTTCCCTAAAAAAATAAATAAAATAATTGTGTATTTCTGAAGGCGGATCTAAGAAAAAGAAGAAAGATCCTTTTTAAATCTTGTGGAATTTAAAAACTTGCAATCTAAATAGTTTTATGACAAAATCTTAATTTTTTTGGCTGCAATTGCTTTAAAGGTCCATTTCGTAAATAAGATAAAATTTAAATTAATTAATTAATTCAATTAGCAACAATAAGATAATATTTAACATATTTATTTTCCTAATTTAAATTCAAAGATATTTGATAAATTTAATTAATAAACTTCAAAAATAAATAAATTAATTAACCATTAATACTGACATGCTAATATTTAATTATATACCAATGTTTCATTTAATATCAATAATTAATTTCAATAATTGATTAATTCAGCAACGTTGGGTCATTAGATTATATTTGTGCTAATAAATCATAATCACAGTAACATACAAATTTAACATATATATGAGTGATGATTACGATACAGCGTCGCGTGAAAGTATAATTGATTCGTCATATCTTCTTCAAATCATGAAACTAGATCCGCCACTAGATCCGCCCTCGAACGCGTTGCCTCGAAATAGTGCTCGAAAAAATCATCTCGCGGTACATACTCAATATTGCTGTGCAACACTGTCGGATTAACGCTACACGACACGTTATATAGGGGCTGGCTAGAAAGATAGTTTCATCCATCCCTTTGCACTCATTCATCGATTTTAAAAAATTTATTTCGTTACCAAAACTTCCAAAAATATTTTGTTTCATATCGTACATGTAAAATTTGTGTAACGTTAGATAAATAAAAAAAATGTTTTTTTACAACAAAAAAACAATGCATTTATAATAGTTGTACGTATCAAACTGCACATATGTATGTAATATAAATAAAAAATAAATTAATCGATTTATATTTCATCAAATATTAGTGGTAATTATTTTGTTTTTTTTTCAAACTTATTAATTTTCATTAAACATAAGTAAATACACTAACAAAAATAATTATTTTACAACATGACATACAAAAATAATAATGTACAAATTCTAAATTCCACTTAGAATAAAGTCTGTCACAATTAGAGGATTTTTGAATGCAAAGAGATAACGATGCTTGCTAGGGCTTGTAGAGATTTCGCGTCAAGCACGACTAATAATTGATTTATTCCTCCGATCCTCGATTAATCATCTTCTAGAGAAACATTCGACGGGTGTTTGCGTTTGGCGTAGCGTAGGCGTTTCATTTTGTACAAACGGCCAAACGATATATATTTCATTTCAACTCAATAATTTTTCAAATTAGTGAAATTTATCAAAACTAATTTAGGTATATTTCATATTTACATATGAATTATTTATATAATTCATGTTAATTAAATTTAAAAATTTACAAATTAACAATACAGTTTTATAAATTTATCTTAGCTGCAAATTAAATTATTAATGATTTAAATCCAAATTGCTAATTATTAGTGCAATTTAAATGTGAATCAATAACTTTTCGATCATTTCTAGATTCGGCTGGCTTTTATACGATCTCTTCATGATGAAGAAACTTGAATATTCCATATCACAAGAAGGATTCAGAAGGCAATGATTTGCAATAAAAAATGATCACGAGTGAGTTTGGTCGTTTGTGCACACTTGCGTATCCACCGTCGATCTACAGACTTGAGTCTCGTTATCAAGTAGAGTCGCTTATTATCAAGAGATATCGAAAAACGTCTATAAAGATTCGTAATATGTGGTACATTAGAAATATCCTCGAACGAACAACACCTTGCCGATAAAACCGTGCCGTCATTGAAAAACTCGCAAACTCATCGTAATTAGCTTAATAGCGACTTAATCAACTCCACCGGGGATGATTACTTTCAGTCGTGCTTCCTCTGTGTTCTCCTTTTTTCTCGTCTTCCTCTAAGTACACAAAAAAAACTATCCATCCGCAAGCTTCGGTGTCTTGTGCGCATTTTGTTACATACAGGATCTCTGAACGAAGAGACAATATATGTGCTTAAACTTGGAAAGATGTAGCAGTGATCTCCACTAATCGTACACAGACCTGACGCTAAATTAATCCTTTTCCTACAGCGATCGATTAATACGCCTAATTTTAATAAAACAATCGTTGAAACCTAGAGAAAAATCTAGATAATTTCAGATAATTCTGATGTGATATTATCTATTTTCTCATAAAAAATAATTTAGAAAAATTGATTTTTCTAAATTATTAATCTATTAACAATTTTAATTTTTACGTGAAAAGAAATTAGATTTAGAATTTGAAGCTAAAAAATTACATTCAACATGGAAATGTTACTTTTACTTTAGTAAAAGTAAATTTCAATAATGATGTAATATCCATAATAAATATTACATTTCATATACTGTAAAAATATATTGTAAAAATATAGGACCGTAAGGACAATTAGATATTGATAGAAGATATCAAAATAATTATGAAAGTAATAGAGTCGTGGGACAGCATCCCAAATGCTAAAAGTGAGAATAAAATATCCTGATTTCAGAAGAATCTTAGTCGGTCTTGTTAATTTATTTGTCTTTTACATTATTAATATTTGTTATACCTCGAAATTAATTTATTTTAATTGAAGATGTATTTTAAAAAATTATAGATCGCCGCTGTAAGTAAAGGATTTATCTCGAAGATCAGGGAACGCCTTTTAAAAATGGTGATATGTAGTTTTCATCAGAGCCAAAAGATTATTGCTCGAAAACTTGTAGCGATCAAGAAACGCTGATATAATTTATCTCTTTCGCGTCAATTATTTCAAAAAGAAAGTATCTTCTCTTTCACAGTTTTCCTATAATTTTATATAATAACAGCCAATGCCTGAAAGTTCTATAATTTTATATTGATAACAATATAAATATGTATAATAAATGTATATATTTGTAGAATTATTAATTAATATAAAATGAAAATCATAAATTAATAATATTGAACATTATGAACTGATATATAAAAAATTAGTTATAGTTTTGCCTTAGCAAAAGCTACTCTTTGTAAAATATTTATAATTAGACGCGAAAGAATTAACCCTCGAAGGAGATTGAAAGTGCAGAGAATGTAACGTGGACTCCGCAGCTATCATCGTTTCAAGCTTAAACGTAGAAATACCCCGAAAGGTGCGGTCTCCATTTTCTCGCACGAAGCCGGCCCGAAAACAACGCAAGTAGCTAGTATTAGATATCGCATAAGTTCGTCTAGTAACACTTGAAACGATACTTAGGGCCCGAGATCGGCGACGAAGGCCCCTGTTCCCATAACGACGTCAGAAGAAGCCAGCAGCGTCTTGCAATGGTATGGTGATTCGTGTCGGGAGATTGACTGCGATTTTTCCCGCTCTCTTTCTCTCTTTTCGCTCTTTTCTCTCTTCGGATTGTGACGACGAATCGCCCTAGCAGATGCAGCTGCTCTCGCCCTCCGACTCGGAACCATTCTGCATCGGCGATTGATTCTGCAAGTCGACAGCTGCTTTTGTGTGTTAAGGCGTGTTGCATTTTCAACTTGCATTCTTATCAAGCGTGATAATTTTATCTCATTTTCCTTCCTCGGTGTCTCCCAAGAAATTAATTGAATCATAAAAAGAAGATACTAAATAAATCGTGTATACCAATATACTTTTCGCTCGGCGGAGCCCGTCGTCCTATTCGTCGTGCCAATAGGAGGTGAAAAGCGTTTCGAAAAATAAAATATCAAAAAGGCTTATGCACTTTTTTGCAATTTGGCAATATTATTGGTCAGTAAATACATTATTGCACTTGATAAACATTTGATTGGTAGCCTTAAACTTAATCAATGCGCGTGATGTTCCGATAATATTGTACAATGAATTCTTATAAATCAAATAAAGTACAATGCAATCCTTAATGATATTACTAGTAAACAAATCTTTTTGACGACTTTTCTAGTATTACACTAGTTTACAAAAAAAAAAGTTTTTTTTAAATTACTTTGAATCGGATTACGTGTTTCTTATAGAGTTTTAGATACTGAAAACGATGTCATTAGCCAAATTTCTTCAGCACTCTTAGATTTTCAAAGTAACTGAGATTTATTGTCCAAAAAATGTCAAATATCGTCAAAAAAGCCATTTTTTAACCTAAAACCTTAGTTATCTTGGAAACCTGACGTGCTGAAATTTTTTGACTTATAGCATTGTTTATAGCATTCAAAAATTTATAAGAAACACCTAATCCAATTCAAAATAATTTTTAGCTGTAAACTAGTGTTATCTACAAATTTCTAAATATTTATCTATTCGATTATACTGATAGTTATCGCTGTCAAATCGATGATCTTGTAACTAGATTTCTTTTAATTTTCCTCTAATCAATAATCCTTTATGAGAATACAGCTCTGATTTATAATTGCGTATATCATCGCATTTTAATTTCTGCTTATCAAAGCTCAGAAAGGTGACAATCGAAAAGCGTATAAAAGTTCAAAAACGGGACGGAGAATATGTTCTAGAATTACTTGCTATTTTTCAAAACATAAAATCTCGTAAAAAGAAAAATTATAGAACAATAAGTATAAAGTTAATAAAAAGTTTGATTTAACTAAGAATCCAATTAAATTATAATTTAAATTAACATTCTGAATTAATTGTCCATAAATGTTATCGTCAATTAAGTCCAATATAAAAAAATAAATATTTTCTTAGATCATTTAGTACAAGCCCTATACATATACAATTATCAAAAATATTAAAATTATTCATATAAAATTTTTCTCTTACAAAGTTATATATAATTTTAACATTTTTCGACAGTTATTTTTAATGACCTTCTATCTAATTTAAGAAAAATCAATTTCACAGGAAAAAGAAGAGAGTCGAGCAAGAAAATAAGTTAAAATAAATTATGTTTTCAATACTTTAAACAATATTAAAATTACAAAAATTAATATAAGGGAAAAATAAAGAAAATCATAGACAAAAAAATAACATTTAAAAAATTCTTCATTTTTTGTAATATTTTTTTTATATTATCGATAGTTTAAGCTTTTTTACATAAATTAAGATATTATAACTGACAAATGGTCAACAAAGGAGACATTAAAATATGTATCTTACTAAAAATTAAAAGTCTTCTTTTATCCAAATTACAAATTATATGTGCAGTATTTAGACAAACCATTTTTTCTGTACTTTTATAAACAAATTTACGTTGATCCAAAATGAATATATAAATAATAGCTCAAGGAAAGAAAACAAATTTGATTCAATAACATAAATCCGAGTTTGTACAGAGTTCATTTATTCTACTCTTAAAGTATTTGTAGAAAAGAGATATAATTAGCTGCTAATTAATTATTCACTTACTCCGTAAAAAATTTCTTTTAAATGCTTTTTCCTTCGTTTTCTCTTTTTTTTCTTATTTTTTACTAACTTCCCAGCATCAATTAATATTCATGCATTTAGAATTAGATCGAATTAAGCTTTCAACGTTGAGTTTCAGTTACTTATTTTTTTTCTATAGTATCGATAAAGCGAGGATCTATATATTATTAGTGATTAGAACTTGACTCACTATTTGAAATGTTTAAATCTCGAGGACTGCATTTACGTAACGCGTTTATTCTATAGTTCATAATCTCCAAATCGATGTGATTGTTGCTGAATATCGTAAATGCAAATGCAGCTGTCTTATTTTCTCTATTTATTGCAAACGTATAAGACAATTAATATCTTAACTTTCTTGAAAAAATGCAAAATAAATAAGAAACACGAAAAATATGATTTACTTCTATCAGCCGTTTAATGTCAATTTGAGCAACTATCGATGTATGTTTAATTGTAAAAAAATAATGTACGATATTAACAAGTGAAATAAATTCAGGTGAACTTTGATACTTTAATAAAGAGTATATCTCAACTCTTTCAGCTCTGATACGTACTTAAATACGGAAAAAAAATATTTAATTGCCTTTTGTAAATCTAAACATCGACTTTTTTGAAATACGTAATGAATGCATTGTCCAAAAATATAAAGAACTTTTATTAATTAATAAAAATTTAAATAAGAAAATGCAATTAATTTTGAAATTATTACTTTTAATTCGAATAATTATTTCCAATATGTAATTGAATAATAATTTTTTAAATTCAAGCATTTTGATCATGTGATAGCAATAGAAAGTAAAACAATTTGCCATACTTTTTAGTCTACTTAATACTGCAAGAATCCCAATTAGATTCAATCTGGATCCTCGCGATTTTTTAAAGGCGCTCCATAATTTTTAATCAAGAATGTAATTGCCGCATCAAAGCCGAAAGAGTTAGATCTTTCTACAATCGGCTAATATACGGAAACACGTCAGTGAGTAAAAGCAGTCTTAAGCTAATGTGTGAAACTGTATTTTTTTCTCGTCTTAATAAAAATCGTTGCTGCTCAGTGCACGGCTTTCCACGACTTCACGAAAACCACAGGCCGAATGCAATCAGTATCCTAAGTCATTAACTTATAAGTTAACTTAGAGCTCAGTGTTTTGTCTACTAGTCAGGGCATCGAACAGAAACAGAACTGTTATTCTCTTCAAATAATCTTGAAGCAGAATTATAAATTAATAAATTAATTCAATTAATATTATTAATATATTATGTATAATAATCTTATATATATATATATATATTTCCTAAGAAAATTTCCAAGAGAACGTTTCTCGATTTTATTAAAGAAATTAAAATGTTTTTTGGTAAATGATAACATATTAATATTATTATACATTAATATTATTAATTATAAGTAATAATATTAATATGTACACTTTACTATTTGCTTGTAATGCTTATTGAAAACTTGAAAAAGAGCTTTCTTAGAAATTTCATTGGAATTTGATCGGTTTTATATTTCTCGAAAAAGATCCTCAAACCGCTCCAGAACGATCTGGGACGATTCGGGTTCTGTTCGGAAATTAATAAAACTCCTTCCGATTCGATTCGATTCGATACCCTGCTACCGTACAGGCCGACGACGACTTAGCATGCACAACTGCTCTCCGAGGCTTTCAGTTCGATTGGCGTGTCCTTGAGCACTACCTCTTGCACTACGGATTAAAGAACTTATTAAGGAAAACACAAAAGTATAACGCAAACAAATGTAAGATCCGACGGATCGCCAAAAAAATCCAGTTCCGAAATCAAGAGCGAAACAATAGACCGGATAGCGGATAATCCTTCAAAAAATGTGACAAATGGCAAGAAAGTTGAATATCTAAATTGTTAATAAAAACTTTTTTGTAAAAAAAGGTTAAATAAAATATAAAACGCAAAAGGACTCACGTTTATCTTAAAAGAAAACACTAATAATTATTAAATAAAAACATGAAAAATTGCATATATAAGAACTGATTTTTGCTATTCCAATTTAAAGACATAATAAAAGAAAAAAACAACGAAAAAAATTGGTAGTAATATCCAGAATCGAGGAATCGCTAGATAAAGGGTGAGATGGGATTTATGTACACGTAAAATAAGAGAAGTTCGCCGCGAACGTTCCTGCAAATATGCCATGCAAATTGCGTGCAGTAAGTATCTTACGCAAAGGATACTGTCTTCGGGAGGCTTGTTTTCGGTGGAGTCCATACCCGGTAGAGCCGCCGCTACTCTTCTAAATAGCTAAAATAATTAATAGTAACGGTAATTTTTTTACTCATTTCCGGGCACACGGGTCGAAAAGATTAGTGTGTGAAAAAAAAGAATATAATATAGTTACCTGTTTAACGTTGTAGCCAGCCTTAGCACTAGTTTCGATAAACATCACATTTAGTTCTTTCGCTTTCCGCTCGCCCTCTTCCGTTGAAACTTGCCTCTTATCACTCAAATCAGTTTTATTGCCTACTAGCATAATTATCACATCACTTCCTCTTTCAGTCCGCACATCGTCTATCCATTTGGATGTTTGATGAAACGAGTTGGCGTCTGACAAATATGCAATCTTAATTTCATAGTTTATTTATCAGGGTGTACCAATAATAGCGTATGCCAGCGCAATTGAATTTACATTATTCTAAATATTGATTAATTAATCAAATTACGTTAATAAAATAATAATTTATTAAAACTTTCGTTTACAAAGAAAATCAAAATTATCGATTAACATGCTGTTCACATAGACAATGAAAAAACAAAAGCAAACTTAAAAAAATATATATTAAAGTCAAAAAACCTAAAATCTCCAAACAGTTAAAAAAGTTTCAAACTAAAAAAATGTATAAATAAATTTATGTATAAAATATATCCTTCATATACACATAAATTCAAAATAAATTTTAAAATTTTTGTTGTTAAGAGAATGTTTCAACATCGAATTCTTTTGAAGCTACTGGCACATAGCTTTTTAGGACACCGTATTCCTTATATACCGAGTGCTTACTGGTAATATCGTAAACAACGACCGCGACAGTAGAATCTCTGATGTAACTAGGTATCAAAGAGCGAAACCGTTCTTGCCCCGCTGTGTCCCACAGCTGTAGTCGCACAGTTCTATCCTCAAGATACATAGTTTTGCTTAAGAAATCTATACCTATTGTAGCCTGCAACATAGCAATAAATCAAAATATTAAGAATTATATTTTTAAACGTTGATAAAAAAAATTAAAATCATTAAATTTAATACTAAAAATTAATTTTAATAAACTAATTAAATAGGATAAAATAATATTATACTTTTAAAACAAAATGTTCATAAATATGTAACAACATAAAAAGTTTTACTTGCTAAAAATATATAATATTAAAAAATAATTACATTACATTGCATACTTTACCTTAATTAATCATTTTTATTATAATGTAATTAAACACAATATAATTTATTAGCACAATGCCTTACGGATAATGTGATAATGTGATAAACATAGAGAGAGAAAGAAAAAGAGAGAAGCGAGTTATCGACGTCCTACAAATTTCTCTCTTTCTATCTTTGTCGATTAGAAAAAGTCGATATCTTGACTCCCTACTGCCTCTCCTGCTAGCATTAGGTCTTTTCGTTCTAAGTGCATTTTCTTACATTTTTCCGCATTTGTAGCTACATTTACATATAATTATATGTATAATATTAAATAAAACAATATAAAAAAACACGATAGCAAAATTTAAAAAGCACAATGCAATAATATAAACGGAAGAAGTGAATTTAAAGTGAATACAATTTTCTTCATTAAAAATCTCCGAACAAAATAGCGAATTAAAATAATTTTGCAAGTCAGGAAGCAGATGATAAAGAAATTATCTAAATATGTAACGGATAAGTCGCCAAACATTTTATGTAGACATCTTCTAATATAAATATATCAATAAAAAAATTAGTAAACATATTAATAAGTGCATAAATGTATCATAAATAAGTGTATCGATAATATTTACAACATTGGGTAAGAAATAGCAAAGTGAAAGAATAAAAATTAAGCATTTTATTTCGCACACATAGTTTATTAAAGTGCAAAAATTAATGGCGGGATTGGGGAGCGGAATAAATGATATTCCAATTTTGTTTTTCCATTTATGATAATAAAAAAAATAGAAAAACAAAAAAGAAAAATGCAAGACATTAAATAATCTACAATTAAAATTTAAAACAATTTGATAAGTAACTTAATCAATAATACATAATATGTTTAAAACAACTATATTTTAGTTGATTTTTTATCTAAAGAAATTGTGTCATTGGATATAGAATCCTATAGCATCACAATTTATAGCCAATAGCCATCATTCAATATAGGTTTATCAGAATTTATAGCCAATTTTGCTAATGCATTAAATCATGCAAATATATAGTTGAATTTTATTATTATAGAGAATTAACTCTCACATGAAAATTTATTCATTTTTAACAAATTTGAATCTACAATTTAATAAAATTGAAATTTAACAAAAAAGAATTTTAGAAAATTCTGATAAAATTATATAACGTATAAATTTTGTAAATTTAAATTAAAATTTTAATGCAAATAATTAATGTTCAATAAATATTTATATAAAATTATTAATATATTAATCTACAAATTAAAATCATATTGTACATAGACTATACACAATTTTTCACAACCTGCACAACGTGCATGCAAAAAAAATTAATGCATTTGATAAAGCACATAATAAAAGTAATTTATTTAGGTATATTAAGTAAAAATTAATAGATATAATAAATTATTGCATACCTGGTATGTGTTGTCAAAGCTGTCATACATAAACCGTGTAATAAGAGATGTTTTTCCGACTGCAATAAAAAATTACATTGCTCATTTATTCAAACATATTTGAATCCTTATAAATTTTTTTTCAAACTAAGCTTTAATATTTTATTTTTAAAGATTCAGGGAATTGTTTCTTTCATTAAATTCATATTTCTCTGTATGATTTTTTCTTCGTGAAATGAAACAGTTTTTATTCTTTCATGAAATTTGAGCAATTGGCAAAATTTAAATTAAATTTCTTTGCCACATACTAAATTTCTTTAAAGAGATTTCGGGTATCCAATCAAGAAACATTTCGTTTTGTCGGGCATTTAACGCTAAACGCGGCCACCGAAGTAGCAGTTGGCAAAAAGCGCAGGGCGCAGATACCACGTTGCACGTTTTAAGCGCCTAAACGCGCGATCAGAACGAGCGCAGTTAACACGGCGACAGCGTGTCGTCGTGGACACGGTGGCGGCGGTGGGGAATATTGATCCATAACCTAGAAGGGTACCAGGCGACGTCGGGTAGGGTCGTCACCCCGATCGAGCGTGCTAACCGTAGGACCGGAGTTCGCGATAGCGCTTTCCCCCCGCCGGAAAAATCGATCCATATTTTTTTTTCGTAGAACACCGACGCACTTGTTTGGCACACCATCGGAACACTCACCGCTCTGCTCGCCCAGAAAGACGAGCTTGAACTTCCGCAATGGGTTACCGAAATCGCCCGAGGACGACATGTTTTTCTTTCGTCGCGCCTGAACGGATTCTCGGCAGGTCTAAACCGGCGGTTTCGATGCCAACAGATATTCGATAACGCGCTCAATGGCCGCCACGACGAGCCATTTAAGCGATCAGCTGCACCGGCTGATTAAAGTCTCCGCTAGCTCTCTGACGGGCTATTCAGGGCCGACAGCTTGACAGCTCGCGACGCTCGCTTGGATGCCACTCCTTGCTGCGAGTCGGCCACGTTTAACTGGGAAGTGACGTCGTGACTGAAAAACGTAGTCACAGAGAACGCCGTAGGTGGCACTACTGATTTCCGAAGAGGAGAGAGAGAGTTCGCGCTGATGCTCCCACAATTCTAAAAAGTCAAACTATAACATTCCCGTGGATGCGCAATGGATAACCAATTAGAAAAAGTTGGCTACTAACATCGACCTATTGCTACGAAATAATTGATAGTCCAGAAGTGTTTTGTAGTTCAGATAATATGCCTTCTTGAAGAATTGCTCATCAGATTTTAACATTTGCTCCCACATTCTTCTACAAATCCTAATTATATTTTAACTATAATGTAATTAATTTCATGTTTTAGTCCGCATCTACATTTTTTGGATCAATTGTTTATTAAATTAATACAAAACTCGGTTTTTCTCGATTTAAATAAACAGCATGATACAATGAAATGAAAATAATTCACATATCTTTTACAAATTTGCTAAAAAATTAAAATTTTATATGAAATTTGTATAATTACATGTATAATACATATTTGAATAAAAAATTTCTGAAACGGCTTCCAGCCGCAATGATAATCTTTATTTTTTACACGTATATACACGCCATACACATGAACCCGCATGCATTTGGTACAAGAAGCACGTACAGCCATATGTACACATCACAGAGAATTCCATCATTGTCCCCCAGCAGCATCCCTCATTGTCAGAGGGATTACTCCTGTGGCCGATTGTTATTTCTATAGGGATCCTCTATGACGATAGAGTGACAGATCAAATCATAGCCGGTTCTGTTGAACCTAAAGAAGAACAGGGAGAAACAAATCGGGAATATGAATGCCAGCACGAAATTTTTCACCATTGATCGGCCCAATGCCAGCGGCAGGCCCAGATCGGTTCCGGGGCTCACCAGGACCATGTCCGGCTCATTCGGACGTTCAACGGGGGTTATACTTCGACATTGAACCACTCGCAAACCCATCATGTACTTGCCAGGAGTAGCGCCTCCGATAAGACCATACACTCCATGTTGAAGCCAAAAGGCCTGAAACATTTTACGCAGAAAAAATTAATTTATTTTTTGCGGTGACTTGTTTTTATAAATAAATATTTAATTTTTTTATGAGATTTATGAAATTAATAGAGCTTCTTTACCTCAAAGATACAAACTATCACGCGATGAATTACTTCCAGAATCAGAATTCCATAAGTCATCTCCAGAGCCATTTTATAATCAATACGTAAATTTGTTTGCAACAAATCTAAGTCTTCTATGTCTCTGAAACATTAGAAGAGATGTTACAAAAAGAAATTTAAAAATAGAATAGAAGTTATATGATTAAAAAGATATGTAAGCAATTTTTATGCACTTAACACGTTATGCTTAATAAACAAAAACTTGTATATATTTGAGATTATTACAATGAGAGAAAAATATTTTGTATTTATGACTATAATTGCATGGTAAAAGAAATATGGTTAGGAACGCACTATTTTTATAGTTATTATTACTATAATGTTAGTAATAATATTATAACTTCCCAGATAGCACAGAGAGTGAAAAAAGAACTCAGTTATATGTCACCAATTCTGAGTTCGTTTTCAAACCATGCAAAAAATTCATGCAAAAAGAATTCTTTTTTTAAAAGGGATTCTTTTTGCACCTGAAAATGAGCTCAGAATTGATGACATAAAACTGAATATACTAATGAATTCTTTTGGGCTCTATGTGCTATCTGAGCTTATATGTATAGTCCTATCAAACATGAAAAAATTTTACTATAAATTATAATAATTTTATATATTAATATAGTAAACTAAGTAAACTATAATCAAGATATGTATGAGACAAATGAAATAAATATTTTTATGTAAATACAACTGCAATTATAGTAAGTATAACTATTTTCTTAACATTTGCTTACTATTTATATTGTGATAACTATTAAAAAATAAGTAAACAAAAAAATAATACCAATCATAATATATAATCATAATTTTTAAAGCAGCTATAATTTGCATGGTTAATTATAATTTTATAGTTGTCCCCGAAATTCACTATAAATTATAGTTAAATTATGGTTATTCCGACTATATTTTTCTCTCGGTGTACGCAATATCGTATTTTTCTACCTACATAAAATCGAAGACATCGATTGCAATGAAGGTGATGGAAAACTTCAAGAGAAATAGCATTGTCGAATCTATAAATTCCGCTGCAAACCTCTTCCAAATTGGAGGAATCCGATACTCGTAACCTGAATCGATAAATTACAGAAATCAACGACATTTAATATGCAATTTAATAATTTCTCTAGATCGATTCTAACCATCAGTTCCTGGAGGTTGGAAAGGTCCTGTGGGTTGTTCCTGAGGTCTTCTTTGTCTCACCGTCTCATTCTGTCTGTCTGCATTTCCAGTTATCACTCTTTGCGTATTCGATTGTGTTGATGCTTGATTTGGTTGGAAGGGTGTTGAAGCTGAAATTATATCTTGTTTAAAATCTAATTCTCACGTTAAACTGTATCTCGACAATTGTCTAAATTTATATAAAATTATTTTTTACTGTGTACCAATAATTATAATTAATTTTTCTAAAACAATTAAAATATAATAGCCTCATAATACTGATTAAAAATATTCATCCAACATATACGAGAAAAATTGAAAACTTTTACAAATTTAAATATATAGATATCTCAATATTATTGAAATTTATCATACAATTTATTTCTTATTATAAATTGAATTATTTTGAGCTCAATATTTTTCTATATCTCTATTATATATATGTTTATATTTATGTGTAATATACATTTGATGAAACTTTCTGATTTCAAAATAAACACATTTCTTGTCCTTGAACATGTCAAGAGTAACGATTCCAAAATACTTGCGTTCCTTCGTACCAAGTGTCGGATTCGTAATGGATTGCCCTGACATCATATAATAGGGAAACATTGCCGCGACACTTTGCCAGGCATATGCCTCCTGGAGCCATTCTTCCAGCTTTTTGAAATACCGCGATCTCTCCTCCGCCGGATTCGATTTACTTTCGGAATCCCGCCCCGGCGTGTCATCGTTTTTGTCGTCTGCCATTTTGACTTCTCGCTTTGCTTGCGTAAGAAAATAATAGTCACTCAATAAAATTGCGGAAGCTCTCTGTCGGATGTCGTTTATCGCTCCAAAATTCTTTTCTCCTTCGTTTGGCACAATAACAAAACAGTGACAATTGTCAAGTAGAGCAATTGTCACTTGGTGGATCAAATTTTATTAGGATCAATTGACAAACACCAGTGCAAGGTGCGTCGAAAGAAGATAAACAAACGCACTGATAACGCTGTTTAATTACAAATAATTGCAAACTACCTTTTGATACCTGTGCCGCAGGCAATCACTATGCTCGTACGTAAACGCGCTAGTTAACCCTGCCTATCACTGACGTGTATGATATCAAATGGATAGCAACGCAAGGCTTTTTACAGTCACGATTGCCCAGTGAATTTCTGTCACGACAGCTTTTCCCCCAGACTTTAGTCATGGGGAGAACTCTAGACTGACGTCTAATGCGCACTTCTGATTTCGAGAACATTATTAGTACAAGCTTAAATTTAGAGTACTTTCTGTTACACAAAACGAAAGAGCTTAAAAAATAATTTTTCACTGCATATAATATTTTTGTTAATTATGAAATAATTTTCTCAAAATGTCCATTATGTGGCAAATTGTACATTAAATATTATCATCTGTTGATCAAAATATATTAATATAATAAATCGATTAAACCTAACATATTTCTAAAAATAAATGAAGAATATTACAACAAAAAAGTGTGCAATATTCTTGTAAATTTTTGAAAAAAATATTCTGTGATATTTTATTTTCATTATTCTTCTTCTTGAGTATCAAAATTGTAAAAACAAATGACAAACGAAGTAATTCAGGATGACCTCTGGTAGTTAAGACTGGTACCAGAAGTAAAAGACCGACTGAGACTTGTCCAAAATAATGATTCGAAATTTTGTCCCAATTTCATAAAGGAATCTTAGTATAATTATCTAAATACATTGTCCTCCGGTTTTTTTTCTTTTTTAATTGCGCTTGATGCAATATTTTATATTTATTTTTGATCAAATTAAGAATTTATTTACATAAAATTCTTTAACTCATTAAATTATTATAATAAATAAATTTTTAATTTATTTACTCTAATAATTTAATAAGTAAAATGTAAATATATAATTAAATTTTAATGGAATAATATGGAATAATTTAGTAAAAAAGAGATAACAGAGATACAAACTAAATGATGAATTTTGGTTTCACACAGAGAATTCTAGATAATTGAATTTTTTATTCGCACCTACAATATTCTTCAATTTTTTGCCATTCGAATTTTTGCTTAAAACGTGTTCGCTATTTCAATTTAAATGTTGTAAATCAGAAATATAAATAGAACAACCATATGTTCTACTAGTGACTTTCTCTTCACCTAACATTTTGAACATGTTAAAACCATCTGTCCAGGATAATGGTAAAAATACAGATAAAAGGTCAGTCAAACAAGTGATAAAATGATAGATCCTATTCGGATTTGTTTAATGGCTTATAATTATTTTTCTCCGGTCAAATATCCAAATTTCTTTCATTTAAAACTCCGGACAAATCCAAGTTGGGAGCGCTGATCGAGTACTCATTGTCAGAGAAAATAGGGACTTTCCTCTGAACCCGGAGTGAGAACCCGGAGAGGAGCCACTGGCTTCTGGTCGTGCGACGTGCTCGCAGCTCCGGTTCAGTAATCACGGTGGGTCGCGGTGCGCGTTTCCGACTGATGAGCAGTCGGGCGAGCCAGCAGTCGTCCTCTTTGTGCGCGAGACTCTTCGCGATAAGTATCTCACGACGGTCGTGGCCGCCGTCGTGTTCCACGCGCGAGTGTTGGGGGTGAGTCGCCGGGGTGGTCGCGTGGGAGCGTCGCGCCGTCGCGACGCGTCGCGCCGCGGCGACAGTGACAGCTCCGGTGGAGCACCTGACGAGAGGGTGTGGGCCCGCGACGCGGACGATCACAGCGGGGACCTTAGGTAAGGTCGAGCACAGGACGGACGGGGACGGGGACACTCGCCGGAGAAGTCTCACCCGGTCCCCACGGCCGAGAGAATTCCCTTAAGACTCTCTCCCCGGTTTCCCAGCTACACCGCGAAGCCGACCGTTATTACCCGTCGTCTCGCGATCGCAATTTCTCATCCTCGCAGAAGTGCGTAACGCTCGTTTTCGTGCGGTACCGTGCTGACGCGAGCGTGAAGATCCGCGCACCGCCTGAAATTTCACGGCTGTCCGTTCGGAGTAAGGACATTTTCGTTGCTCCGAAAAAGGACCTGACTCCGATTGTGTCGCGCGCGAGAAAAGAAACAGGAGCGGATCGTCCCCGCTTCTCCTTTGAATCATTTCAACAAAACGCCAGCCAGCCGGAATTCCGGAAATTCCAACGGCTCCGAAAAATCGAAGTTACGTGCATGCGAGCTGCGTACGTGCTCGCTCGTAAACAGACTTAACCCTAGAATGTTCTTTCTTCCTTCGTACTTGTTTACAATGTACGTGTCTTTAAATTTTAAATACAAGCATCTAAAAATGTGAAAAAGCACCGAATTGACTTGTTTAATACAAATTATTGATAAACTCGGAAATATCTTAAAAATTTCACTTTTGAAAAAAATGAAATTATTGTTGAAAATAAGAAAAAATTTTTCTTTTAAACATTTCAATAAGTTTTATTAATAAAAACGTACCACGTTCTCCGAAATCTGACGTTCTAGAATTGTGATTTGATATTTAAATGGATTTATGCGTAACTATATAAAATATACTCCGAGAAATTAACTAGACATGTAAAATAAAGAATATCATATTGTGTTCTGTATATTCTGTGTGGTTAATTAATTTCTATTTTTTTTAAGCGACGTGGAAAAAATTTTTTTTAATAGGATGTTATTGTAAAAGCTATATTAAAAAGCATTTGTAGCAATTGTTTATGGCAATAATTGTGTACAACACATCTAATATTTATTTGATATGAACAAACTTATTATAAAAAAATAAAAGAAATCTCGTAAACTTTTCCGAATATATTTAGAGATGTTATAAACTTTATTATTTTATTGTCAGTAAATAAAAACAGAAAATCTGAACAAGAAAAAATTAGAGGCTTGTTAAAAACTATATAATAATACATTTCATTCGTTTAGTTTGCTGGAACGCCCTACATTCGTGTATGTATGAAGAAGTGACGAGAAGGAATTTCATCTGTCACAGCAAATCCCGAAGATTGCTTATATCATTAATTATTGCGATAAATTGCTAAAGAGATCGCCTGCTTTATTTAGCTTTTACCTTTGCGTTAATTACAACATTAATTATCTTGATGCTCATAGTTTAAATTCTCTTTAAATAATAATCTACTTTAGTAATAATTAATTGAATATTCAATTGATATTTATTTGCGAGAATTTTGTTAAACAAATTTTTTTCATTATATCTCTATAAACTTAAATCTATTATTTAATTTAAATTTTTGTTCTATTATTTATATTCATTAGTAATGTTAATTTGTAATGTTATTAGTGATATAATTAGTAATATTAATTTGTTTATTCACCTTTAAAGAATTTGCAACATTAAACGACGATGTTTGATTATAGATCGTAAATTACGGCATAACGTTGATCACATAATTCAACTTTATTACTATCTCATTATGAATTTTATTATCTGCAATCTCGTAATTCTTGCAAATAATATGTAAACGTATTTAATTTATACGGCACAAATTTTATGTGAGCCGGTATACATTCATCTCGAAAATACTCATTTATAAAAACCGTCGACACAAGCGATGCGATCCGATTATCGTTATCGATGCGAATAGATTCTCTCTTCCTCTTTCCTCTGAGAGAGCGTGATAACCGAAGGGGAACCCGACTTGTACGTTTACCCCGTTATCGGGCGAGACATCATCAATGTTGCATCCACAATCGTGTGGTTTCTGACCCGATGTATCGAAAATCGAACATATAACGGCCGACAGGCCAGCCTCGTCTACCGCGCGCCAATCGATATTCCCGCTTTTCACCGTCGCTTTTCCACGCGACGTTAATTACACACGCCAATGTAAGATGCATCAACGCATTCTACTCCGGAATCGACGAGAGCCACGCGACTCGACCCGCCAGTCGCCGTCGACGAAACGTGGTCGCTCGTAAAAAGATCCGGGCTGACGTTGACAAATACCGCCGTGATAAGCGCCCTTCTTTTTCGGAGAAACACAAAGAATGCAGTAGATGCACTTCTAGAAATTTAACCTTCTGCCTTTTATCCTCTCGGGCTTTAACGTCTCGTTTTTCTCTCTTTTTCACTTTTGAAAATAAGGAAGTAAACAATGTCATATAAATGATTGATGGAAAATTAAATGCGTCATTGTGCATCGTTAAATTCGATACGCAATATTGTATTGAATCTAAAAAAAAACAAAAGTATAAAATTATTTTGTGGAAAAATCGTCAAGGTTACGGCGTAGATCATTATCATGCTCATGTGATCGTCATTATGTAAGCTGTTATATGAAACTTTAGATCATTAGGTTGCTACAAACGAAGCAATTAAATTACGGGATATTGTGTTTCGTTTTTTTTCTCCCAATTAACCAATCTTTTAATTCGTCGGTTTTATGACGCAGTTTAATATTTCTTCATTTTTACGTTTAATATTTATTATATATATATATATATATTTTATATTTTAATTTATAAATCTTTATGTTTCTCTATTTTCTCCAATTCTGTATTTCTACATCTACGCATACATATATCGCGTACATCTTTTTCTTCTTTAGAGATCATCATATCTTATATCTCTTTAATTAAAAGAGAGGATGCGAAGCTCGATGGCATATTTGCAGCGGTGACGAACGCATCTTGTATGCAAGGACCAAATATAAATATGAATCGCGCTTTTCTTTTCGCCGCTCATTACCACGAGTTGCATCGCGGTGTCCTTGGCGTTATCGATGATCGATAGTCGGATTGCCGAAGATACAAGGATTAAATGAAGCGTTTAATGCAATTTGCACAATATGTAAACACGACGCGTGTCCAGCCAATTACCTATCGATTTTAGTCTGTTCAATAAATGCATTTATTGTATGCTATGAATGAGAGATGCAACAGTTTGTCGTGTACTAAAGCTACTTTTGTATCTATCATTTGTTTGCTAAATCTAATTGCGTATCTTGAGATATAAAAATATTAATATCAAGTATTTATATTTTATTTATTATATAGATAAATAAAAAAATTAATAATTACATCTGACATATTAATGTACATATCTTTTCTTAAAATCGGATAAAATTTATTCATGTATGTATTTTTTATCAAACAATCTCGTAAAATTTTATTATTGCATTTATTCATTAGAGCGATGTTTCACGGGATACAATTTACCCTTATCGCGCAATTTTCCACCGTTCTAAAAAATTCTAACTGCGAGGGTTACAGAAGGGGAAGAGGAGCGGTCGAAGTTCATGCTGCGACTGTCGGATCGATATTCGTATTCTACGAAGTCGCGAGAGCTTTAACTTAATCTGGGATAGTTTAATCATGCGGAATTATGCGCTAACTTCGTTAAGTCGCTCCTGTCGATGTGGTTGCCTCTTCGAGAGGCAACACTTAAAAAAATTCAGACCATTAAGCACAGATCAAATCTCTTTAAAACTCGAGACAGTTTATTCGATATTCGACGGAAATTTTCTTAAATTAGATTGTTATGTAAAACATTGAGACTCTGCATTAACGATTTTCGAATTTTAAAACAACAGTTTATGGAAAACAAGCCGATAATTTTTAAATTTAGTTATTTAATTAAACATTCAACGCGAGACAGGAAGACTTTAATTTTAATGTATGAAAATTTAACTGAATTAATTATACGATTTCGAGCAGAGTTTCTGCTGAGAACACTTGAAGTCGTAGTGAAACCAGGAAAGAGCACCAATGTGCTTACCTGTTAACCTTGAAGCGACATTTGATAGTTACCAATTATATATTTATATACATACATCCGGATATAAGCAAACGTGAATTCTTTTATCATTAACGACAACGAAGATTCAGAGAATCAATCGTCGAAGATAACTACTGATAAATCTATCAGTAGATATCTTTATATTGACAGTGATATATCTTTTATCATTTCCTGTTAATTTTTATTAATAAAGATATTTTTAAGAAAGAAAATTAACTTTATTGATATTGTGTTATAATTGAATAACTAAAATCTAAACGAATTTTTTAATTATATATTATAACATAAAAGACTACTACAATAAAAAATTTGGTTATTATTTTATTTGAATAATAATTTAATTAACACATAAAATAACACTGTCTTCGGATCCAAATTCAAAAACACAAGATACATTATCTGAATTATTTATAAATTAATCAAATGATAATCGCAATAATAAACATTATCTATTATAGATTGATAAGAATATTTTATAACTATTTAATAAATTTAAAAAAAATCAATAAGTAAAAGTAAATTTAAAATGCTTTTTATTTTTAGATATATTTTTTAAAAGGAACTTTCTGATATTTTATTGCGCTGTAATTTTGAAGTGACAAATTGCAAAATAATAGAATATGAGTATTCTACTAGCGTAGCTTTATCATTTATCGTGTACCATCCCATCAAAAGCTTGCGCGCGACGCAGAAGCTCGCAACATGGCCCACACGCAATATGTCCGATAATAGCTAATAAATTGTGCAATATAGCGGCTCGTTTATCAGCCCTCACATGTGTGAAAATTTTCTACAGAATTTCCCGCCGGCTACAGAATTTCCCACACTATTTTCAACTCTATTAAGAAAATTTAAGAAGAAAAATCGCGCATTAATATACAGTACAATATAGTCAGAAAAAAATATTTTACCTCGAATTGGTAAAATTGGAATTATATATAAAAAGCAACGTGATTGTTGAAATAAAGTTAAATTTGCTTATCTGAATTGTTAGTCTGATTTCAGTCATTGTACGGGACATTGTCGTTCTATAAATATTTTGACCTCACCATAATAGTGACAGCTGTATTTGAAACGTCAGAAAATGTAATTTGAAGCTTTTGAGAGTTTATTAATAGTAAAATTAAAATTGAGTAAATTATAAAACAAAATGAAACAAAAAAAAATAAATTATTATTATATCAAAATTAAATTTTCTGGAATAAATGGAACTGTTCGTTACTGACAAACAAGATTTTTCACAAGGTATTCTATTATTTTTCTCTCCTTTCCTCTTGTTGAGTAATTCGTGCCTCGCGTAAATAAGTTATTTCCGGCGAGATCAACCTGTCGAACATTTTGAAGTACGAAAACCAAACGTTCGTATCGTTTACTCGGAGTTTATAGCCACGTATAGGGTGTCCAAAAATCGTCACGCATTTTCTCTTGATTAATTTTAAAATTAAAATTAATTTTGTCTCTACGAAAACTCATTTAGATAAACTCTACCTTCCACTATCTTGACTTTTAAAGTTGTCTTTTATTTTCTCAATTTAGAATGTAATGAAATGTGATATCAAATATTAAAAAATCAGAAAGTAGTGTCTGATCAAATTTATTTAAAGAAGAATTGACTGTATATTAGAATTTAAGGATTTTATTATAGCGCGAGTCTCGACGCATCCTGAATAATGGAACGGGTATAGGGTACCTTCTGAATAATCCAGTTTCCTCAGTCGGATTCTAGAGGAGCTACATCGGCGAATCGCGAGGGGAGCACCCTGTGTATACAGAATAATGACGTCAACGGCGATTGAGTAGTATGATTCCCGGTAGTTTCGCGCCGCTTATAGAATCACTGTAACAGTTATAAGTGCGCTAAACTACGGGCAACTTAAAATGCAACGCCATCACTCCGTTCGCCTTCACGTCGTTTATTCGCCATCAAAAGCACAATCACAGGCTATCGAATAAAAGCGATAAAAGCCTCATTAAATAGTAGATTATTCCGCAAAACGAAGGAATAATCTGGTTCGTATCCGGAAACTGACTGACACTCCTCGACATGGGAGCTTTGCGGCAAGGGAAAATGAGAGGGCAAATGATTGCGTCTGACGTGTAGCGCAATATGTACTGAATGAATTAATCTGTGCTCTTTTTATCCTTCATTTCAGCCCTCTTAAAACCCAAATTAAACGCGAAGGGAATTGAACATGATTATAATGGACAGAATTAAATGTCTGCGTATTAAATAACTTCCTCTGCCAATTTCGATTTATTTTCAATTACTTAGCGAATTAACAAAAAAAATAGAAGAAAAATTTTATTAAATAAATATTAATAAAACATATTTATACTCATATACGCACGTCAATGTACATTTACTGTATAAATATTTGACACACCGCTTCAATTAATTACTCTTGTTTGGTATCTCATAATATTATCGAACAGCCATTTTATTAAAATAAATGAAGTTTACCGATTAGTTTACGTTTCTGGGCGTAATTGGGTTTTTTCCCGATTGTTTGATTTATGGAGGATAGCGATAACGACCGCGAGAATGCCTGCTCAGGCATTTGTACCAGACCAGATAACACACGAGTGACGTCAAATGAATCGTAAGACTAACTTCCGTCCGTTGACCCAGCATGCAAAATTTGTCCTGAATCATTCGAAGAGCTATTAGGGACCAGAATTTGTGGACAATTAATGAATTGGAGGATGATAAACCGACACAGCAATTTTTCGATATTTAAACATTCAGCAAACTGAGTATTATTTCAAAAATTTTCAGCTTTATTTATATAAATGTGTAATATAAAATTTTAATTATTTGATGTAATAAATTTAATGTTTACGCATTGAACAAGTCTGTTAAAGTAGATGAAGTTTGTCCCCCATCTAATCTTCATTTTATCTTCGCGATACGTAACTGGAGAGACCTCGCAGATTATGGCGCACAGATTGATAAAGAAACATGTATTTCGGTGCTCTGCGATAACATTTGGCATAATGACGTCAAATATGTACGCAAGTTGCCTATTCCTTTCCGTTGACCCGTTTCATTGACGTTAGATATCTTGTATTCTCATATACTTTCAATTATGTATATATGGTGTTACAGAAAAACAGCATATAGTCTCTTTCCTTTTCTCATAAACAGTAGAATATCAAAATATGTAATATAATAAAAATAATAAAATATTTTTCTGTTTCTTTCTCTGAATAATATATTACAACATTAAGAGAAAAAGAAAGAGAAAAATATTTTTTAAATATTAATTAATTAGATATAATAAAAGTTCCTTTTCAAAAATAAATAAAAAATATTTTCAAGAAATAAAAATAATTAAAAATAATTTTCTAAGTAGATATGGAAAAGAATTAAATATAAAATACACTACATTATTCTTCGAATATCGAAGTGATAGATTCAATAGTGAAATGTTTTTAAACAGCCAACAAATTAAATAAAAGTAAGTTCTCTCCTGAATTTCGCCTTTCTCTGCCTTAATGGACTTAGCATTGATTTTCTCTCAAGTAAAATTTGATCAGCAATTTAATGGGAAGACTGCTAAGACAGGCTGAATTAAGCTTTGGAAGTGTAAATTGGTAATACGATCTTACTCTTCGATTAATCGAAAGCAAACTTTATTCAAAAGTAAATTTCATTTAATTTATTTCGATATATACTCGAGAACTGGAAAAATTAATATTTGCCTGCAAGATAAACAAGGAAAAATCAAATCAAAATTTTCAGATTTTATAGAAGCTATTTCTGGAATATTTCTCTCTTCCCTCTCTTGCTCCCTCTTTCTGCCTCTCTTATTTTTCATTTCATTACCACTCGGTACAAATCCATTATATTAAATCATTCGTGTATCTGTAACCGATAGCGGCACGCGGTGTGTAAATCCCGCGAGTACAAATTATTGTACGAGCATTATCGTATTAAGTATTATACGAGCGCCGATTGAAATTGACATCCATTTGCTGGAGGAGTTCAGTGCAAGCTCGGCGTTGCCCCGAAGAGCTCCGCCATCTTTCACCGCGTTCGCATTTCGACGTAATTTTAATTTTTCATTTAGAACAATCAGTTTATTACAGCAGCTAAATAAATAAAAAAAATGCAAATTTGTGCATACAAAATTGTGACTCCGTGAAATACAAATAATTATATATTTTTTAGAAAAACATATCGGCTTAGCGTTGTTTTGTAGAATTTAATTCGCGTATAGTAAGAGCCGTCAAACGTCAAATTTATAATAAACACAAAATCAAGAAAGTCTTAAATAGTTGAAAAAATAATATAATATAAAATCAAATTCTAAATTACAAATAATTTAAATTAATTTAGTAATTAAAAATTAAATTCTAATTGTATTTATAAGTGTTAGTGACATAGTTTTTATAATTACTATAATTAAACTGATAAAATAAAAGTATCAATGAAAGAATTAGGGGAGAATATAATAGAGGTAAATTTATAATTAATAATAGAAACTCTCTCTTTCTCTCTCTCTCTCTTTCTGTATAACAAAAGAGAAAAGAAAGACTGTAATTCTATATATATATATATATATATAATCTTATAATATTAAAAATTAATATAATCCTAAAATATGTTTATAATTATTAATTAATAAATTGTTTGTCAATGACTTCTTAACAAATAATTTTTGTTGGCAGTGGGAGAGCTCGGAGTCGGACTTCTCGGACACTGAGGACTCAAATGAGCTAGAGGCCAACGTGGGCCCCGAGATCACGATGGACACTATAGATAGTGTCAATAAACGGCAAGCTACTCGTGTTTTCAAAAAATCCAGTCTTAATGGCAAGATCACGGTTTATCTTGGCAAGAGAGATTTCGTCGATCACATCACACATGTTGATCCTATTGGCACGTATCCATCATGATTAACCCACATGCTTTCAAACAATAATAATGTATAAATTCTTAATGTGCATACATATATAAGTATGTATAGTACATCGTACATAATTTTACGCAAACAAGCCTTTTCTTATAAATTTTATGTTAAAAGGTATTTTTATATAATTTCAGACGGGGTCGTCCTGATCGATCCTGACTACATAAAAGATAGAAAAGTGTTCGGTCACGTTCTTGCGGCGTTTAAGTACGGCAGAGAGGATCTGGATGTTCTCGGACTGACCTTCCGTAAAGACCTCTATCTAGCGGCCGAACAGATTTACCCGGTGCTGCAAGGAACTCAGCCCCCTAGGGAACTGACGCGATTACAAGAGAGGTTGATCAAGAAACTCGGCAGCAATGCGTATCCCTTTTACTTCGAGTTACCACCCCACTGCCCCGCTTCGGTTACTCTGCAACCGGCGCCAGGTGATACCGGCAAACCCTGCGGTGTCGATTACGAACTGAAAGCGTTCGTAGGTGAGACGCAAGATGATAAACCACACAAACGGTACGAATTTTAGTACACAAAATGAGAGGAGTTATTCTTTCAAATAGAAGACATTTTTTCTTTTCCATTTAGAATAAAATAAATTTCCGTTAAAGAGTGAGATATGAAAAATCTTCACCTGTTTTCTTTAATACACATAGAAATAAATATTCTGATATTAGTTAATCATTAAAACTGCAATTAATTTATTTAATTATTTCATCGTAATTAAATGGTGAAACTAATAATTCAATTCGTAGAAGCTGCGTGAGGCTGGCGATCAGGAAAATTATGTACGCGCCGTCGAAACAAGGCGAGCAGCCTTCGGTGGAGGTCAGCAAAGAATTCATGATGTCCCCGAACAAGCTACACCTGGAAGCCTCCCTCGATAAGGAGCTCTATCACCATGGCGAAAACATAGCTGTGAACGTGCACATAGCGAACAATAGCAACCGGACTGTGAAAAAGATAAAAGTGTCGGTTAGGCAGTTTGCGGACATCTGCCTGTTCTCCACGGCGCAATACAAGTGCACTGTCGCCGAGGCCGAGAGCGAGTGAGTATGCCCTAACTAATTACACTCATTTCTTATCGTGAGATGAAGATATCGCCGGTATAACGCGTTGTAACATGGATTAATGTGATTTAAAAAGCCGTTTTGACGACAAAGTACGTGCATTTCACGAAAATTAAATTTTCGCTATAAATGTCTTAATGTTGATATAACTCTTAGAAATTTCGAATAAACTATCTTTTAATTAAATTTCTCAAAGAATAAAGAAAATAACTGAACAGTAAACGAAAATTTCTTTAATTTATAAATCACGAATATCTCAAGAACCGCTTTTTAATCACGACCATATAGAAACAGCCTTAGGTTGGAGTTAACACTTTTTAATTTAGTAAGCTGTTAGTATCAAACTATTTTGTAATCTAGGCGACAAATTTTTTTAACGCTGTACGATCCAAGTGTTGTTAGTAATATGATACATATATGTATATCTATAAAAACTTGGAGACTCGATGGGTCTCTGACGATCGTGATCAGCTTGAACTGCGCGTCAAAGTTTTTCTAGCGATTAAAAATCACACACGGTGGGCGCGATAACACGCGATAAACAGAACTGTGACGAGCAGGAAAATAAAATTATTGCACTGGCAGTATAGGGGTAGCGCCAGGATTCACCCTGAGTAAGGTGTTTTCTCTAAGGCCGACGCTTGCCGAGAACAAAGACAAGCGGGGTCTTGCTCTAGACGGTCAGCTTAAACACGAGGACACCAATCTCGCGTCTAGTACAATGTGAGTGCGAGATTAAGAGCTCGCTGTTTCCCTCATTACTCTCTCCACCTTTTTTGCCGGGTACTAAGGAAAAAAAAAGAGATGACGGAGGCTGGAAACCGGCCAAATGGTTCGCCGAACTAGAATCTCGTGACGATATCTCGTGGTGAATGTCCGGATTTTATAGGAACTCATCATGCTCAAGTGCCATAAAGACGAAGCGTAGTGGCAAACGTGCTATCAAATTCTTTTTTAGAACAACTTTATAAAGTTATTGAGAGAGAAAATTTGCTGAAAGCATTGTTTTAACGACGTTTTGACAATAAATTAGATGAAATTAATTTCATTTCTTGATAGTCTTTCAGGTCTTACAACGTAAAAGATACATTATTTTGTAATAATAAAATATACAAAAATTAAGTGTTTTAGATAAAGTATACAGAAAGTAATGTAATTTAAAAATATTCATCATATATTTGCTCATAAATCTTGAATTTAATAAATTTAAAATTAAAAATTAGTCAAAGAGAAAAATTAAATTCTATTTTATTCAAAATGTCAATTGCTTTACTTTTCTTTATAATCTTAAAAAAGATTATGGAATTAATAAGAAATATTGAGGGACAAATCCGTCGCCAGCCTCCTTTTTCATTCTCTTTTTTTGTATTAATGTAAAAAGTGATAAATGGAATGGCAGCATTTTCTTGGTGATTTTGTGCTGGGGATTTTTAACGCGGTGGCCTGTAATCACGTATGGATCTCGATCGGTGGTGGTCTCATTTCCTCTGCAAAACTCCCTCTCTCTCTCTCTTTCTATCTCTATACATTCTTCCTTCTTTCTCCTTTTCCCCTATTAAAATATATTTCTTCGCCTATTGAAATTTTTCTTTTCCTACTGAAATATATTTTACGAATTATCAAAATAAATTTTTCTGCATTAATATATAACCGTAAATGTCTCACATCCTACCAATAACCCTTTCAGGCACTGAAGTACACAGTATTGTTAAGCCCTCGTCCTGTTCTCGTCTTTCGCAATCGTAGTCTTTCATATCGCAGCGTGAAGCACAAGCTGATATATCATACACGATGTATATTTGAGTGTTACAGAAAATAATTGATTAATTTAATTTGTTTATGTATTGTCGTATTTTAATCAACCGTAAATTTTTCGACGCAAAGCTGGAACTCTATGAAATGCTATAATATATATAATAAATATCGCTAATATGAATCAAAGTACTAAATGATATCAAGATATTAAATAATATCTTGATTAACATAAAACAATGTTTATGTATTTAAAGATAACATTAAAAGTAACAAATTTGTTTTGAAACTTACGTACATATTTTTCTTTCTTAATATATAATAATATATACATAAACTAATAATGAATATTAAAGATGTTGAAGAAGAATAGTTTACAAATATCTTGTCAAAAATAATGATTGCGTGTTTTGCGACATGTTTCGCGAATCGATCGACGCGAAATCTCGGTCCGCACGTAGTAGCACATTAACACTCATGCTGGTTGTGTGTTCAAATGTCAGGGAGGGATGCCCGGTGGGTCCGGGTTTCACGCTGAGCAAGGTGTTCACCTTGACACCCCTTCTGGCCAACAACAAAGATAAATGGGGGCTCGCCCTCGACGGCCAACTCAAACACGAGGACACCAATTTGGCGTCCAGCACCCTGTAAGGACGCGATGCCTGAAATTGAGCCTGCGACACATGCAGACACACGTCTAGATATTGATACGCCGTACCGCGTTTCGGTCGCGCATTTAGCGCCGAGAGAGATAATATCCGGAAATTATCTCTCACAAATTGCGAAAGTTTGACTCTGGAGTTTGACATAATGTTTCCTAAACTTTCGACAGCTTGACAGACACGTAGCAGTTGAATAGCAGAGATCCCAATTGTTAGATTTAAGCGCACGTGTCAAATATATTTTCTAATAAAAGAGAAAAAAACAGAAAGAGAAAATTATGGGAAATATTTTATTTTTGTATTAAGACATTCTACGGAATGAAAAAATTCTACTCTCTACTCTCAACTCGTAAGAATTTCATAAACATATATCATACAATTTGATATAATTAAATAATATATAAATAACAATAAATATGCATATAAATATTTAACAAATAAATTTATATAAAATATTTTTATTACATAAAAATCTAGAAAAATCTTTTGTAATATTGAAATATTATTTATACATAAAATCGTAAATGATTAAAAAATAGTTTTACGAATGTCTTCAAATATTTTAATAAAGTATTTCCAAAGCTAAACAGAAACATAAATTATTTAAACAGAAAAATTGTTTAAGAAACACTGAAATTCAATGCGGTTAGGAAAATTTGCAAAACAAGCGCTAAATGCGGGACGAGAATGCGGGCAGCGTTTGTTACACACGTGTCGTTCACGCACGCAACGCGCAGCCGAATACGTCTTTGGGAATTTCTCATTTTCGTGCGCAACGCTTTCCACACAACGGCCGGAAAATACATGTTGGCTGCCTGCAACGAAGCTTTTCTCAACGATCGATCGATCGAGATGGCGAGCGACTGGCTCAATCATTGTCGAACGACGTGTAATTCTGTTTTTGCGAGATTCGCACTCAAACTCACTGAGAATCCAGTTCCTTCCGCGCATCCTGGATTTCTTAGATCTTAAATCCATGAATATCGGTACAAATAAAGATTTTGGGATCAACAATTTTTCAGGATTTGATAAGAATTTAAAGATCTCTAAATTCTATGAACCTCGATATTTATGGATTCTGAGATCCACATGCTTTAACTCTTTCGATACCATTTTCTTGTGACGTTTTCTTACATCGACACAATTTCTAAATTATAATCAAATTGGAATTTTGATACTTAGTATTGTGTGGTACACAACAACAAATAAATCTTATTATTTTTCTGACAAAACGCGTACATTGGCAAATTCAACACGTCTTATCTTTTTTATATTACGTGAAACTAAACTTGGCAACTTTGATACGTATCTTCAGCGTATCTATCGTACTGATTTGCAACAGAAGAAACCTTCGTCTTTTCCGCGATCTTCTTTTTCTGCCGAATAAAACTTTTCGAACTTTCGTCGGGTCATATATCTTCCAATGGTACCGAAAGGATTAAGAAATTGCGATCCAGGGGATTTAGGATGCAAGATACCTAAAGCAAAAGTTTAAAACCGAAATCCCGTCCTCCTTCTGCTTGTGCTCGTAAAAAAAAAAACATGGCATCGCCACCGCATTGTGCCTGCAGTAAAATTGCATGGACGAAATAGAACTTGTTCATTTTTGCTGCGAAGCTGTAGTTATCGTCGATAGCTTGATTAAAAGATATGTACGTGATTACTGCTTTATACAAACGTTTGAATGAATAGTATTGTAAATGTATAACATTCGTGTAAGTGTATAAAATTGCCGTTTGCTACTTGTCTTCTATTTACGACTAACAAAGTTAATTTATCATTCTTTTTCTGTATTGCTTCCCGTCGTTGCATGACGCCATCACACAATTAACTTTGCATGCAGCTTTTACGTAGCGTTTATATTAATAGATCATAACGTATTATAATGACAACAGTAAATATAATTCGCAGTGTGGTTGATCCGGCGCAGCGTGAAAACCTCGGCATAATTGTCCAGTACAAAGTTAAAGTCAAACTCTGCCTCGGAGCTCTAGGAGGGTAAGTATTATTATCTATTTATTACGTTCGGTGTGCTCTAAGAGGGTAACCTAAATCAGTTATCTTCAGCGTATATATATAATTTTTTTATATAAATATAGCAGCTAGAAAAGAGTGTTAAAAATGAATACGGCGTTTTTAAATTGAGTTAATCACTTAAATTTTGACTGACACGATTCTCTAAGGTTCTCTTTAGATTTAAGATCACGAATTTAATATTTCTATATTTAACATTACTGTTATATTCTAATTAACAGCGAATTAGTCGCGGAACTGCCCTTCATTCTGATGCATCCGAAACCGGAAGAAGAGGAACCAGTGCCGTCCACAGCTCGACCAAGCCCTACGCACAAAACTGACAGCGGGGAAGTATCGCTCGACACAAACCTTATTCAATTGGATACGTAAGTAACTCGGAAAAATTTCAATGTTTTAAGTTTTTATGAAAAATCAAGAAATCGCGGTTACAGATCAATAAAATCTTATCTGAAATTTTACGAATAATTACAATTTTCTTAACATTCAAAAACATATAAAATAGTTTTCAGATCACATTTCTAATTTTTTTTTGTTTATTCTCAGGGAGGCAGACGGCGACGATGATATAATCTTCGAGGATTTTGCTCGTTTGAGGTTGAAAGGCGAAACAGAAGCTTGACCGTGTTCCGCCGACACCTTGACACGTATCGATCAAGTGACTTTGACGCCGCCATGCCGCACGCAAGACGGAAGTTGCACAATTTCGCCAATGATGCCAATAGTAGCTATGTCGCAGCAACAAACTTAAACGACGTTAATGTTCAAACGACGTTATTGTTTGTTGCTGCGGCATCATCGCTATCCTCGAGCGCAAAGTGTCGGTTGAACGGTGTTCCACCGTTTTGGCACGTATTAAAATTTATCGCAGGAATACTTTAATGACAAAGACAAAAATTATTAAAAAGTACACACAAATTGTATAAGAAAGAACTTCTGCTCATAGTTTTTTTGTGCAATTTCGAATTTTTACGTAGGCTAAAAAAATTATGAAAAATTCAAAATAAAACACGATCTCGAGAAATTTCTTCTTCAGTCGTCATTTTTACTGATTATTGAAAGTAATGGAAAATACATAAGAAGTTGAAGTTTCTCAGTGGTTTCTTTCAAACTGTTCGACAATTTTTTGTTTGTTTCTTTTTTAAGCTCTAGCCTACACATATTGTTGATGAAACAATTAACAAAATAATTAAATAACTGATAAAGCCATTTTTGTGGCACATGTTTATGATTCTTTATGATTTTGACTTGTGGGGAAAACGCGACGGATATTGTAGTTGACGTTCACGAATTTTTCATCAATGCCGTCGCCATTTTATGCTCTGGCTCTGAAGACTGATTTTAGGAAGGACATCCAAGAATCTAGCCAATGACGTATTTATTGTAAAATCCTTAACAATAAAAAAAAGCAAATGCAATATGTATGAAAAATTCGGTATTTTATTTTCCAAAAAAATTACAAAATTTTAAAATTGCTATTAGTTTGATTAATTGATTGGGTATAAATCACAGGTTAATTTTAAAAAATTCAATTATTTTAACTCACATTAAAACAATATTTATAGTTAATTAGGTATTGGATTGATATAAATCCGAGAATGAGATTCTTTAGATTTATAAGCTACAATTGCGATTCTTTATGGCCAGTACACTGTCTTTAAGTTCCACCAGTGCATGGGATAAACTCTTTTATCAATTTTATTTTAATAATGCTGAGAGTAAATACGTATGTTAGTGCACATTGCAGAGATCGTTTGCGTAAATAGGACGATCGTAAGCGCTTTCTTGTTCCTCATATAAATTTCGCAGAATTAATACCTAATTTATATAATTAATATAAATAAAGGGCAATTAATCATAAAACCGTGGATAGAATAAAAAGAGAATTGTTTGATATTTATCGTATTTCTCCGGGATAGAAAAACTACAAATACTTGATTTACGACAACGAGGGAAATTATTTTATAAAAAAGTTAAGATTCTAGAAAGATCCCGTTTAGAAAAGTTTTACGCAATAATTTAATCGTATACTATAGGCAAGATATGCAGAAATACGCAAAAAAAAATGAGGAAAGATGGCGTTTCGAGATGCAGATGTCAATTTATAGATGTATTTATGGATAATTTAGAACTTGGTACCATTGTAAGATTTGTAATATTATCCGTTTCACATCCCTTTTCCAATCAATTAAGTTAAGACGGCGGGCACTGTTTAATCGTAACTATTGACTCTGATAAACTTTTTAAAGACTGCTCGAGAATTCGATTTTCGCACTTTGCAATGAAATATCGCATAATCTCGACTCGCTCGTATAAATTAGGAGTTTGATATTGATTGCCTAATTAAACATTGGATGCAAAGATTTTTGCTGTAAGATTAAGTTACGAAAATCGTAAGATTTTAAATTTTATCATGCAAATAAAAATATCACGATGAGTTATCACGTGATTGCGTCTCGTTACTTTTGTAACAAGTATTTCTAAATAGAAATTTTTTTCCAATTTTAGAAATTGCTTTTGATGTTGATATAAAGCACAATGCATAATTTTCTTATCTTTTTCACTTTTTGATAGCCTATTTTTTCTCTTTACTCGTCAAATTTAAATAGTCAAAGTATATAAAAATATACAAGAGAAGAATGATATTTAAAATGTAATCTCTCTTAAATTACATTAAATCTCGCAGAGTTTAGTGATAAAAATGTTTATTAAACAAGAGATTTTTTATAAACTATTAATTTTTTCAAATTACAAGATCAACAATGAACGGTTCACATTGGCAACGAAGATAACTTGATGGTGACATTAATTAAAATGACGGAAGTTACAAAACCACAAAAGCTGTAAACAGCATTGTACATGTATGTATGTGCGTGTGCGTGTATGTGTGTGTATATAAATATACACAGATAGGAGGCAAAGAAAAAAATAGTATTTTTTATCACTTTAGCATTTACAAACTGTATCTAGACGAAATAATCAAGTATGTGGTCTACGCTTTTTTTCGCGCGTTTAACGTTAAACGTGCGATAAAAATGCGGCCGTATTTCCTCATACCAAAGCCGATATATCCGTTTCCTAAAAGAAAATGCTTCTCGAGAAAGGTATTAATAGTAATTTACGCAAATAAAAAAGTCTATTTAAATCTTTAATCTAACCTAAAAGGGACTTTCCAATTTCTTTCATTCGTTATGTAAAAAGACTTATTCGTAATTTAACAAATTATTAATTTTTTTTACACATATATGAATTTAATAAAAACATTATTAAAACATAAATTATATTAAAAATTTGTTTTATATTATAATATAAAAAGTATAATATCTCCTATAGGTTTCATTCGTTCGTTTAGTTCATCTGATACATTAATTTAATCGTTAACTGTCCAAATAGCAGCTTGCTTAGAAAGTCTCGTAACTTTTTCAATTTATTTTCATAAAACAGGAACGTGCATGTTCAACGAACGTAGAACTATTTAATTAAGGGAACGTACTTTTGCGATTGCGGCGAATGTCGAATGTCGACACTTCGATTAACGTTTTAAACGATGTATGAGTGTGTATATGTGCAGGCTTGTATAATGAGAGTATATTTTATATTCGCCCACGGGAGGCGCGTGCATATTTTTTATATGATCGCAAGCGGTAAATGATTAACATTTTTATTGTGATCGTCAGAATCACAAAAAGAAAGATTACGCCGCACACATAACCGAGAGAGATAAATAAAGTCAATAAAGTATGCCGTCTCTGTAATTCTAATATTGAGATTGTTTTCTTACGATACAAGAAAACTTATATATCACATACAGAGTGTCACAGAAAAACGCAAATTTTATAAATTTGACCATAATATAAAATCTCATTATTTTCTGTGAAAATTTAAATTATAAAAATTTGTTATTTTGTATACAAGTTATTTGTTCATAATTAGTAACATGTAATTGATATTTAATATTAAACTCTTTACTTAATATTTTGTCGACAAGAAAATTCTGAAAGGTTTCAACTTTAAGAATGCAATTTTAATGCGACATTTTCTCAGACGCTCTGTATTTAACGAATCACTGCGAAAAGAAAGGCAAACGATTACGCTTCTTTGATATAATGCATTTTGCGCCTGGAAATAATTCTCATAATTCTCTCATTTTATATCTCGTTTAACTAAAAATTGTATTTCCGTGCAAACAGGAAACCGTTGTGATTGAGCATATAACGGAAACGCGAATATGCTGTTGTCAGAATGTATCACATACGATATAGGACGGCGATTAATTAATTGCACTGGAGCATAATAGTATAAATGGCATAAGTTTGACACAAATAAAAAGAGAAGAAATAGAAAAAGGAAAAGAAAGAGAAGATATGATGCGTCTCGAGAGTGTTTCTGTAATTAACGTAATCGAGTTGATGTACAAGTGTTGTGGTTCTTCGCAGCTGTTACACGTGTAAATCGTAACGAGAGAGAAAGAAACAAAAAAGAGAGAAAGAGAGCCATTATTGTTAACTTGTACATTGTACCATGGACGACTTATTTATTGAAGCCGCGCGTTGTTAGTTAGCAAACAAAGTCGTGTGTCGTTCATGATCGTTCGCTGTTCACTCGTGAATAATCCGTTTTGTATGTAAAAGAGATTACAAGAGAATTAATAAAAAGGAGATAGGTAGAGAAAGAGAAAGAGAGACCGCGAGAATGTGAGAATGCATGTATGCGTGTATACGCGCGCACACGCGCGTGTGTGTGTGTAAAGTAAATGGCATGAAGTAAATATATATATATATATATAATGCATAATATATTGTATATGTAAAAATCGTGTATTCTCGTATTGTAACTAGCTGTAATAATTTAATAAATCCTGTATATCGAAACTGTATACACATTCAACATGTTTTTCAACATTCACTACGGCGAATTAAACTTAATTTATTTTCTTTCTTTTCTTCATTGTCTATAAAACATTTCTTTTATGTATTTTAATAATTCCGTTCATAACAAAAAAACATTTTGTTAGAAACGCTAGTGGTAGTCAGTTTAACAAAAACTGTATATTTTCAGATTTAACGTAATTATTAAGTAATAAGGAAACACAATATAAAAAAAAACTTTTTGCAAAGCTTTTCAGATTTCCGGGCGATTTTACTATAATATATTGTGCGCGCGATACGTATCGTGATACTGTTGCTTAAGCTTTCAAAGTTGGAAAAGTTCCTTAATTGGGGAAATAACGTGCAATTAACAAAGCGGCTAATACGAAAGCTCTCTTCCTTGACAAAATTAAATGCCCGTCTTGCTAATAAAAGCGTTCTTTTTTTCAGTCGTTTAAAAAGACTTGGGATCTTTAGTCAGCAATATCAATATGTTGTCTGCATTTATAAAAGTATTTATTTATAAATATGAATTATACAGAATGCAAGAAAATTAATATACGCGCGAATATTTGAACTTTAAATATTTAAGCAATAACTAAATGTAAAATATACATAAAGAATATTCCAGCAAATTTGATATTAATACGTTAAATTAAATTAAACTGGTAAGTATATAATATTAAATTAAATCACGTACGTAGCAATATTATGATATAGTAAATAATTCTGAAGCAATTTAAACAACTATCACAATTTTAACTTCGAAACTAACTCGAGCACGAAGAATGAAGATATTAGAATCTCTACCGCGGTTCCCGAAGTAATTTGCCAACCGCAGAGAGAGGGGTAGAAGGGTTGGTGCTGAACCAAGGGCTGAATTCGCCATTTCATTCATGTAGAAACTTTATTCAGATTTAGTCATCCTCCGTCGCAAATTCTAGTCATAAATCGCGCGGCATGAAGCGGAAAAACGAAGAAATGAAAGAAGAAGAAAAAGTGTGCACGAGGACACATTTACAACACGAGAAGGCCCGGAAGAATTACGCGGCAGAAAGGAAGAAATCGGCTGCCGTAAAGAAATAAGGGGAAGTTCGCGGTAATAGGGATGAAGAGCGGGGCACGCGCGGGGAAGAGAAACGGAAACGCAAGAAGAAAATGGAAAAAAACAGGTGGAAAGGGGAGATATGGGAAGGGAGGTACCGAGCGGCGCGCAAATTTTAGCGCTTCTCCGTCTCGCTTCCGTCCCGCTCGTCTCCTTTTATCTCTCACCACGCAGCCTCCGTAGCTTCCTTTTCAGTATGATCCGCGCGGTCCGAGCGCGAGCATCGTGTACTCTTAGATTGTTGTCTCGTTGTCGCGTATTGTTTATTTCGTTACTATGTGAAAAAACTGAATCTGTGAAGAGAATTAAAGTTGAATTCAACTTATAATAAATTTTTTCATATAAATTACTTTTATTTAGAGATAATCAATTGCTACCAAGAGATTACTTATTTTAAAAAGTTTAACTGACTTTTCCGTGAAACAGTAATCTTCATGAACATTTATTTGCGCCGTAAATATGTAATGTAAGAAATCTGCCAGATTTTTAATGATTTCTAATTAACGTTCGATAGTTTATTACTGATCTGTCGATTTGTTCGAATTTTCCAAGTTATCAGATGTTATAAATTTATAAAGCATCTATACTGCATATATTATTCGCATTAGTTATCAATTTTATGATTTTGTAAATATATAGCAAAATTACTTTACTAACAGTTTTGCGAAGCATATCAAAGCCGAATTGAACAAGTTAACAGATCGCTATATTAAACAGGTTTTACTTTTAAAGAAATTAGATAATCTCTTTGTTATGGTAATATTGACCGGGGCATTATTTGCACAATAAGTGCGTAAGATGAGTCTTCCATCAAATGCTTTTTAGTTCTGACGTTTAAATTCGAACTCGCGAATTTTTTGCATTTTCTGCATATGCTAATAAAATAACGGAACTTTTGCACTGCAAATAAAAAAGTGATACAAATTATTCTTACTTGATTTTGCATATAAACTAAAACAAAATAAATTTATATGACATTCTAAATAGTTGGCGTTGTAATTGTCAATCTAATAAATGATTGAATTGTACTTTAACTTAATCATTATTTAGATTAGAAAGTGTTGATAAGTGTTTTACAAAGATCTTTAGTAATATTGCAGGTAGATAGAATATAAAGTTTCCAGTCTAATATGTTTCTGTGATTAACAATCTCGTTGTTGATTCACCGGGATTCGTTCGGTTCCCTTTTCGAGCCATCATAAAAAGTCGGTAGTCGCGCTACTTTGCTATTCAAATATCGAGCGAGCGACACGAGATTTAATAAACCCGAACGGCCGAATTCATTTTGGATATCGAAGAGCTGTGAGATTAAATAATATAGATTCATGGTGAGTTTCGTGAGTCCAAAGATGATACGCAACATTGAAATTCAAATCCGTTTCTTAGCAAATCCGTTTCTTAATACTCTTAATACTCTTGATTAATATACAAACTAATTTATAATTATATATAAATCACGCTGACAATTAAATCCTTAATTAGAAATCTCGATAATTGTCTTTAAATATACTTATCATTAAACTTTTGAAAGTTTGCTTAATAATTTTTTTCGATTTTTAATTGCTTTATAACATATAAATTAATTGGCACGATATTACAATAGAAATTATAAATTAAATAAAACATATAAAAAAATATCTTTCAAATAAAATAAATCTTTTAAATAGCATACAATAAGCTTATTAAAACTTAAATTTCTGATAAAATGTAAGCGAAGTTGTTGAAAAGAAGTTTATCATTTACACAAATTCTTTCAAAGTCGTAATTTATTTGCAACTAACTAATATATTTGCAACTAACGAGTCAAAAATATTTTCCGCATATATCTAGTGTTAGAGAAAATTCATCACATAAACTCGTCTGACCTTCGATGGCTTTTCTACTTGACGGTTTTGGCGGAAATTGTCTCGCTCAAAATCCCTCAGAGAAATCTATGAGAGATGACTTCATAAATGCGGGATCTCTTTTGAAAACTTTTAACATTTAATAAATCATTGTTTATCGAAGCTAAAATTTCAGAAAAGAGATGGGGATAACAGCTCGTGGACAAGTGAATAAACATTTACCTTTTTCGCTTCTTGCGAGTGTCTGCAGATTCATAGAAAGAGAACAATCTTGATTTGGTATGAAACGCGAGTGAAAAAAGTGAAAAGTGTCTTAACTGTCTGAGGTTCAGACAATGAATAAACTGTACCGACGACAAAACCAGAACATCAATGGCGTCGAGACGCGAGCAGCAGAAATTGGAAAAGTAAGTGCAATCATATAAAATTGATTGTATACAATATACTATTTTCTTTTCGAATTGGTTCACAGATTTTGTGTTCGTTGCAGAAATGATTTATTTATTGCATTGCAATTTTATCAAATAAAAGAAATATAAAAATAATGTAGCAATATTCTAAGTCAATTTCTCTTCAGTTACAAATTCTTTGAGAGATTTTACGATATGCAATACAACGTCATTTTTCTTAAAATTCTTTGAATTAAAAAAAAAAGTTATATATTTAAACTTATTAAAAATATATTTAAGTATTATATTCCTTTTTCAAATATATCGCTGAATATATAGTTATTACGTCTACTAAAGTATATTTTTACACTTGTTATTCTTGGAATTATTATTTAAAGCCTCTTTTAGAAAACCTTTATTCGAGCTAAAAGTGAAACTGAAGCTCTAAGATCCAAGATGCTATAAAAATCCATCGAAGGATGCTAAAAGAGGAAAACCTGGGATAAACTAAGTATGCGTCATTTCGTTGCGAAGAAAGAAGTTCTCGCCATTGGAGCGTGATTTTTAAGTGCTGTCACTTACGTAGATGCAATTCGATTAGCCGCATGTACGCGCGAGACTCTCATTAATCGCGATCCCTTTATCAGAGGTGATGTAGCTATTGATCTCGTTGCAATACCGTGACAAGCCTCGAGCCGTTAGCCGTTTACATTCGGCGGAAATCAGAACATTTTATTAGCTGAATCAGCGTGCGACAACCCGAGACCTGTTGCTTTAATATCGTCCCATTTTTTTAAGTAGAAAATGATTCAATCATCTTTTATGTCAGTCCGACTGATCCACTCTGCTTCGTATATAACAAAAACCATTTAAAAATTATCTTCTATTTTCTATGTTATTTCACGTTATATAATTCTTTATCAGTCCTTATTTCAATTTACTACATTTAATGTACTTATTAATGCATTTTCTGTTTAATAAAAGAACATATATATAACAGACTGTTTATAAAAGAACATATATATAATGTAGAAACAATGTTTTAAGCTTAAATTTGTAATAATACATTGTACAAAAACAGTCATAATTTCCGGTTTTTCGTCTGGTTTTTCGATGGAAAGCGGAAATAACTAGATTACTGTCGACCTTTTCTGGAATTCTACTCTTTCTCTCTCTCGGAAAAATGAAATGTGAAACATCGCGATTAATTTACGTCATTCTGCCGAAAGGATCGATTATTAAGCGCCGCATATATTATTAAGGACAAACGGTATTATTTATTCAAGAATCGGGGAATCCTGCAGTTAAAAATATAACACATTTATTATTTTAAACAAAGGAACTTTTGTCTTGATTTACAATTTGATAAGTTACGATTGATTAGTTGCGATTAAATTATTCGTTCATTTTTCGTAAACTTTAACAAATTCGTAGGAAAATAAAATATTTATTTACGGCGATGGTACAATTGCATTTAGTAGCAAATTTCTCATTGGCTTAATAAAAAATGGCTTTTGCAGTAAATTATGGAAAAAAATATTTTTTATTAATAATTTATATATATTGGAAATTTTAATGTCAACCAGCATTTGCGACGAATTCAAAATGATCAACAGAAAATTATTCAATATTAACGTTTAATTCTAATCGATCAACAAACTATAGAATCATAATGGTCATAAAGAAAATCGGCAATTTTAATCATCTTGTGTTAGATTTCGTAGATATAAAATAATTGCATAGTCTGTTTTACAACATTGTTTACATTTTCATATTTTACCATTCAGAATGCTTCTGACTTAATGCCTTAATGGACGACAAGCTTGTAGAGCACACAACTGTGCTTCAAATAAAAAAGAAAATCTAAATGTAAACTTTGTTTAGTTGTACAGTTAATGTTACAGCTGTTTAAGAATATTAAAGAGCAGACAATTAGAGGAGCAGTAATCTTTAACTTCTTTAACATGTTCTCTTTAACAAGATGGCAATAATTTACTAATTGACGGCATTATTATGTACCGGAACACCGACTGTATCTTATTTGAGTTGCTCCAATTAATGATCGTTCCGATGACTCGTGACGGAGCGCGCGCTGTCATTGGCCTTAGAGGTGTCAGTAGTCATTGCGAAGCCGCGTCACTTTCCACGCGGGACCGCTAATAAATTACATCCGCATCTCCCGTTCGCACTCCCATCGGTCCCGATCTCGAACGCATGTTAACCCATGCTCGTTTTGGTACGCGAGCGCACATCGGTGCCGGCACACGATGTACTTCAACCCTGTGATGCACTTTCACGGATCAAGTCACTTAGGACGCCGCGCCTCGGCTTCTTTGCGAAGTCGAAAAGTGCAGCCCGGAAATGCAATTTTGAAATTAAACTCCCGCAAAATTGCGAACCACGAGGTGCGCAACAGCTTTGCGGAAAAACATCTTTTGTAGTATCTTTAAATGTTATTCAGTTATAAAAGTGTAACTTTTTTATCAAAATTCGTCACAATTAAAAATGTCTAGCAAATACATCTCCCTTTCTCTCATTACTTCTTGCAACATAAATAGTAATTGTAATTAATTGTGATTAATGTATGTATTAATGTTTGTCATTAATGTAATTTCTGTAATTTCTCAATTAATTTGCGATATATTAGCTTAAAAATATCTGTTAAATATTGAATATGAATACATATTTAAGACAAGGAAGACGATATGGCAGCGCATATATTCGGCTTTGCGAATAACACATGATGTTACATGCGGATCATGCAGCAAGAATTATGTTTATTTTTATTCACGGAATATTGCGATATGCGAACTTTCTTAGATATAAATAGATCAAGTACTCTTGTGCGCTCGTCGCAATATTCCATCACGGCTTTAATGCATCAACTTTATTATTCATGCCCTGCATTAATGTATCGTTATCAACTTTCCGCGTAAACTCGGCGGAGAGAGAGCTGTATCTTCGTTTCTGGGAAATAGGAAATCGGTTTCCAGTTTTGCCCGTAAAATTCTACACTCGCGATAACCGCTTTAATTACGCTAATTACAAAATACTAGTCGACGCAAACGAATTTCGCACCGACCTAATATACGGACTCTAGCATAAATTCCACTCCTTCTAGCATAAATATAAAGCTTAATCAGTGCTACCAATCACAAGTTTAAGTAATTTATATATAAGTAATTCGTGTAAATAAATTATAATTATGCATTGTATATTTGTATATGTGATTCAGCCTGCGCACTGATTATAAGTAATTAATTCAAGAGTATAGTAATTCGAAAGAGACGGTGTTGTTTGAGAAATCTATTTTGGGAAAAAGAATTAATTATTAGAAATAAGATACTAGAAAGAAAGGTAAGAGAAGTTATTTTCTGTAGAGAGAATTTTTAGTTTTAATGATTTCCATATTACTATTTGTAACGGATAAATCCGGATAACATGCGTCGGGTACGTCATTGACAGGCAAGCTTGCCGAAGTAGCAATTTGTTCGGAGATCAGCATTGTCGCGAGGTAGAGAACACGGACTGTCGATATCCTGTACGTCAGTTAATCCGACCCGGTGAGGTCCGCCGCCGCGCCGCTCCGGCAAATAAATAGCGGCCACGAAGGGGTCTGACATTTTTGTAACCCGCCTGTGGAAATATCCGAATGGATTGCAGATCGCACGCGCGTCCGATCTTACACATTTATCGATGTCCCCGATAGTCTACGAGCCGACGTTCGAGCCCGATCCTTTGTTTGTTTGTCGAGAAAGAGCGCTTTGTTCGTAAGATTCTACCCGCAATCAACGCGCAAATAGTCGCTCTCCTTTCCCCCCTTGACGTTGTGAATTCCTGATGATAAAGAAACCGATGACAACCCATTCTAATCTTCAATAATTAAAACAAAGCGGATAAAACAAGACAACATTTTTTAAAACAATATTAATCCGCTAAAATTAAGTCTATTTAAATAGCCTTACATGGAGCTTTTTAAAGACTAAATTGTTTAGCTTTAGACTTTTGTATCATTTTCAATGCATAATATTCCATATTTTTAATTATTTCCAATTTTAAATGAACAAGTAAAAACAAATTTCTAAAGACTTTACTCTAATTCCTGAATCCTTATAAAAACGTAAATTAAATTAAAACTTATAAATATCAAAAATTAAATTACATGATTAATTTAATGTATTATTTCTTAAAATTTTAATCTCTTTTAAAAGCATGGCAAGATTGTGGGTATAAAAGTCTTGTTATTTCTTCAGATTGTCCTCAGGAATACTCCAAATCGGCATAAGAACCTCGCACATACGTGTTATCGATCGTGACTGGAGGTATTATTAATCCTGAGGACACCATCGAGACTCGTCATGCTGGTCCCGGAGGGAAATTTGACAGCTTGGGCGAGTAACTGGACGACGCTGCTGCACCAGGTGTCCTGCAACGACACCCTTTTGGGTTGCGCCGAAGAGTCGTGCGACATCGTTTCCGGCGGATTCGATCATCTATGCACGGCGATCGAGAGAGGGACTTTTACCGCTTCCTCGATGACGCTCCTTTGTACGCCATGCGATTATGCGAGTTGCAACGTCAACGTGTCCTTGCTCCTCAACGGCCTCGAGAGCATTGAGGGTGTCTTTCTATCTAGGATACCGATAATAAATTGTAATGCCACGTCCATCGAGGAGGAAGTAAGTTTTCCTTGTGAAAGACTGAAGACATTAAAGTATCGAAATTTCCAGGTCGAGAATTTAAAATTCGCATAATTCAACTTACGAGAGTTCAAAAAAGCACTCGGGATTAGATCAGCTAAGTGTCTTAAGATATTAAAAATTCAAAGAGAATTAAAAATTAAGAAAATTTATAAAGAGATAGAATTTAATCCTGAAAATTGAATTTCTTTAATTTAAATTAATTTAAATTTTTCGCAGAAGTTTTCAAAATTCTTTTAAATAACTTTCAAAGACTCAAATAGTAAAAAAGATTATAGTTTAAAAGATAAAATCGAAGGAACAATTTTTTTAAAACTAGAGATTACAAAATTTCAAAACGTCTAAATTTGAAGTTCTAAAGATTCTGATTTAAATATCATTAATATAATTCATAAAATCTACGAAAAATTTTAAATATTCTTTTACAAGATTTCTTTTTCGAATCTCAAATTATATCTAGTTCACTTGAACATTTCTCCCTCGAAGCGATAAAGTTGTTCGATTTCCGTCTATTGGTGACATATAAAGATCTTCATTTCGAAGACGAGAGGGACGATATTTCAAATCTGTGACGACGTTTAGAAATTGTCGCTTTCCACTTCAACACCTCTGGAAATTCCAGTCATCCATCTCGGACGTAACGGACGATAAATATCCGGTGTTTTAGATTTTGGAATGCTCGTCGGCCGGGAGCATCGCCGAGGACCTGGCCGTGTCCTGCTCGCACCGGTCCAGGCTCGGCGGCGCGGGAACTAAGACACGTCGCTTCAACTGGAGCTTCTTATTCGTGGCGGTGTTCATAGTCGCCGGCGGGCTGGGCAACATATTGGTTTGTCTCGCGGTGGGTCTGGACAAAAAACTCCATAATGTGACGAACTATTTCCTGCTGTCGCTAGCCATGGCCGATCTCCTTGTCAGCCTGTTCGTCATGCCTCTGGGTGCCATACCTGGCTTTTTGGGTGAGACTCTCAAGAGACTTGTCTCTTCTCCCCTCTTTTATTCTTAAATTATTCGTAATCCCCCTTTTGATAATTTGATTCCTTTTAATTTTCGACTTGATGAAATGAAACGCGTTCACATTGAATGACATGGATGAAAAATATCGTCAAATGTCTTTTCGAGTATTTCAAGACGCTAGACAAACATTGGAACATGCGCGCGGCATGAAATGTGGAAAAAGACGAGGGAATATTTCGGACAGAGAGAGGAATATCTGCGGCTAGTCCGCCGAGTACCGTGAATAATGGGTGCACAGTGGTCGGAACAGTGCGTATTAGCGGCGCACCGGAGCGGAATTTTAGAGGGACCTGCGTAGCGACGCGCGCGATCAGATTACGCTCGTAACACAATCCGGAGTTTAAGATGCCGTGGTATAGTGGAACAATGTGGAAATGGGAGACGATCTGCGTGAAAGGTCCGTTTACGCCCTCCCTCTCTTTCTCTCTCTTCTTCTTCTCTTCTCTTCTCTTCTCTTTCGTCCGAACTTACGTCCTCCACCGCAAAGTTTCCTAACAATCGCGTAAATTGCCCGGTGATTAATGTTAATTGAATTCAAAACTGCATCTCCGCTTACAAAACTTAATTTCAAAGTGCCGTTACAAATTGGAGCCGGATTACGAATTGTTAACTTCAAAGTATATATACATATATATATATATATATATATATATATATATATATATATACATCAGCCGGTGTAATCTGTTAATTAACCTAAGTGGAGTTATTTTCAAGTATTTCAGTCAAGAATAGACCATTGATCACTGACCATTCAGGATGATCTTGAGCAAATTAATGTATGATATGCAAATGAATCTTTTCTCCTACGGAACAATCGATCGGCTCGCCACTTCCCGCCACTGTTGTCGAGGGACGACTTCATCCGCGAGTTTTCGCGTCACGTGCTGGTGCCCCATTCTTCACGCGAAACGCGCCGACGACACGCGAGGCATTAGCGGATTCATCGTCGCGGCTCGTTTATCTCGCGAACGAGACAGCTTTTGCTCCGCGACCTGAAAGGAGTAATTTCCAGGCGCGCATCTATGTAGGTCCCGAGAAACTTAAAATCCGCAACAGCGATGACAACGCGCCATTCGATTCCATTCGAGTCGTTAATATGAAGCATCCGTTGAAGCATCCAGCCTTACACATTTCCTTGAATCTCTTAGATTGTCGATTCTAATGCCGTTGAAATAAAAGCGCTCGTATTTTCCAGCTCCGACGTTGCGATATTTTACAGTTCACAAAATTCACGATATTTCTGCGGGTTGTATTGGCGTATAGGAAAAAATATATTGGCAATCGATGTCTTGAGTACGCCGAGTCCCTTGGGTGTTGTCAATTCACCATCATTAAAATTATATAGAGAGATTACTAAACTTTCAAGCTTTCTCAAATTCAGATTTCGTTACACAGATTTATTATAAATCATAAATCTTCTCTCTTTTGGAACTTTGAACTGATAAATCTAAAATTTTGAAATTTGCAATGTCCAAGATGAATCTCTGATTATATAAGAAAAATGTATTAATTTTATGTATTAATGATTCTTTATATAATAGTTTAAAAATATGTTTAAATATACGAGATATAAGATTATACAGACAGCAATTAGCAAAATATTAAAAATACATTCCTAAAATCGAAAACATATTGATACCAACTGTCTATTGAAATTTCGTTACTTTGCAATGTCCAACCATATTTCACATCCATCGCAAAAAAAAATAATTTTTTAAATTTTATACACTAAAATGTCTCTATACACAACAAAAAGCAGAGTAGCGTTAAAGATTAAATTGACGATATTACATTTAATAATTCTCGACGTCCTTGATCCTATTACGAGGTGCCGTGATTATGGCGCTAATTAATTCGCGTTTCGACTGAAATTGCTGCGAGCAACGAAGCACACCGTATGGCGATTAAGTACTTTCGAGTGTCCAATCTACGTCGGCTCGATGACAGCCTACAATTATCTTCGATGACGCCTATCCATCGTAAATCGTCCCGAAATTCGTCTCGGGTATATTCTCAGACTTTGTGGATGATGTAATTAACAAGATTTAAACCGTTACTCTAGTTTATTAACGACATAAAATATAAAACGTGATACCAGAAAAATTTCAAAGCATTTTCTAGTATTAAAATTTACAAGGTAGTATGTAAATAATAAATATATTGAAAGCTTTTTAAAATTATTCTACAATAACTATTTATTTCAATTTTATTTATCGGTTAAATTAACCGTTTGTGAATAGAATAGCGTCGAAACATCGTCAATATATCAGATAGGACACAAACGTGCTGAAATCACTGGAAGCGTGAAACTAGCGCGCTTTTTTGAGCCCGCTCGTTATACTCGTTAAGTTGCGCGGTTCATTTCCGACGTTTGTTTTCATATTTTTGCGAATATGTGCCGCGAAAAGGGCAGGAAGTGCATTGCGAGCACGTACGTGGCGGTGCGGCAGTGCAAACCCGGCGCGTATGCACCTTGTTACGGGGGATGCGCATCGGCGCGTAACGGGGCTTTTGTGGCTGAAAATTGGCAAACTCGCCGCCTCGGAGCTATGCGAATATTTCGTATTCAACGGCATTCGCGCCTTCACGCGCGAACTATCGGCTACTCCCTTTCGTATTACAATTCTTTCCTTGCGTATTTCCGGAGAAGCTCGCGAAGTTTCCGCCGTTAACTTTTTAAAATTGATAAAAGAATGGGAGCATACAGTATATGCACGGAATTAATAACAATAGCAATAACGAAGTTATCTCTTCATAAATTATCTCAATGGAATTATTAATGTATGCAATATCGAGACGGAGATTTTAACGATTGGACTTAATCTTTGGGCGAATTCTCCGCGCGCATTCAAATCCTTTTCTCAAATTTTATTTTCAATTTTACTCGTGTTTTAATTTTTATTCCGGAGTTTATGCTCTTCGGAGTTGTTGAATTTCAGTATATTTGAATATCAAGCTTGCTAAACAATGCTGTTCAAATTGGTCAGCGCAGAGGTTGGTGCGATGCAATATATTCTCGATATGTAATTATTATAAATGTAATTTACAATGTGTACTTATCATTTTAATTTTAATCGTTACTCAAACTCTCCTTGATTAAATATTGAACATGTATTATATCGAAGATTTGCGCCTGCCAATCCATATCACTTTGAATGTCGTCATTTAGAATTTTCTATGATACTCGTATAGTTTGTTTTCTATTTTATTTATTCTTATTTTCACTCTTCTCTTTACGTTTTTGTTGCGTATTTAGGCCTTTATTGCGGTGTGTCTGCTCATCAAGTCGCGCTTTAATCTGTTACTAATGAAATTCCTCCGCAACGTAGTCTCCGAGGAGATCTTAATATAACGCGACTATGCAAATTTTTGGGGTTACTATGCGTCCTCAGAAATTCTGCGCTTCTCGCCTTAATTCTCGCAACGAGTGCAGCGCACTATACCGAGAGACGGCGACGGATTAAGTTGATTATTTTAATTGGATTAGTATCCATGCCGGTGGATTAAAGGAAGAAACTACGCTTTGAAGTATGTCGCGACATCTCCTTCGTTCGACTCGTTAAATGTCATTCATTCCAAGCTGTAGTTACAGCATTAGGATTTGCATAATGAGAAACTCCGATATGATGAAAAACGGGACGCATTGTAAATGAAATGGAATGATAAAATTACTATCGCCGTTGTTGATAGTCCGATAGTCTATCGCTGGATTATTTTCTGTTATTCTATCAGTGATTGAGAAGGCGCCATTAATTATAGATTCGTATACATAAATCGTTATTGACTTTATCAGATCTTCTTTGCTTCGCAAATCGCTGTTTGAACAATCCATCATCATACGGTATGATCGTACAGTGTTTGTTTAATCCCTGGAATAACATTGACTGCATACGAAATGTTGCATTTCGTTGCATTCCGAAAATTTCAGATTTGACTCTTATTAGATAAACGTTCCTCGATAATCAAATATTACGTATCGAGTGATACGATTAGTTTTACTACAAAAAGTTCAAATTCGCGTGTAAAAGTTTATAAATTTTTTAAATGTGAAGAGAAGTAACACAAATTATATCTATATATATACATATTTTATTAAAACGTAAAAAATATTGAAATACTTATATAAATATTTACGTGTCCCACATTAGAAAAAATTTAATAAATAATCAATAATCATTGAATCAAAAAACTGTTCGAAAAAATTATAAATTCTCGTAAGGAGTAAGAGCAAGCGCGCATCCAGATCTGGCGTCCGATCATATATCAAATCATGATCAGCTTATGAATACTAAAACGTTCCAGATGTATCGGTGGATACTTCGAGTTTCCACAAATCTTTGAAGTGATAAAAATACATCGGCGGCTCGCAGAATTTGCGTGTGGAAAGTGACGGTTTGTGTAACGCATTTCCGACATTTGACGTCGTTTGATGTGGTCCATTCATCGTATCGCGGGAATGCACTGTACGTTCGCGCGCATCCTCATACGTTCCTAAGCTAAATCTCAATCTATGCAATGAGGGCTTATCCCAAGCCTATTTTCTCCGTTATTTTTTCTTCGATAAAAAGTGCGTCATTAAAAATGCCTAACGAAGGTCCAACAATCTCCAGCTAAATATCCACCTAAATCCTTTCCTTCCGTATCTCAATAAAAAAAATTGTTCAAAAAAAAGAAGCCGTAAAATTCACTAATTAATTCTTCCTTTTCCGATTTTTCGTACACATATAGAATATTCCACGAAAAAAAAGAAAAATTTATGTAAATTATTTGATTATAAATCTTCCACAAATGTAGAATGTTATATGACAGAAATAAAGTTTACTAATTATTTATTTTAATTAATAATTTTGAATATTATTATTATAATCATAAATTATTCGATATCTTGTCCGATGTTTTAATAATTCAAATATGACTGAAATTTGAATACAGCTTAAATTTCTCTCTACTAGATTTTTAATCAATGTTTTCTGACTGAGACTTGAAAGTGAAGCTATTTCATATTCGCTGCTTTATGCAGATTATATACGTACATGCAAGATTTTATGATATTTTTTCACCCCAAATATATGCTTTAATGTAAGAACATAAAAAGAAAATATAATCATATTTTTCACGTAATATTTCAAACGTTTAAAGCTTAATTATACATAAAGCATACAACTACAACAATAATAAAATTGACACCTTTTTCATATCACGTAATCTTCTTTGTCAAAAAATACGGACGTGTGACAATGTCGCGGTAAACTCTTCAATTTTGGCTTGAATAATAGACAGCCTAAGATGGTCGCGTAGCAGATAACGCTTTTCGCTCTGACTTGACATCCTAGCTTCTCGTCTTTTCGAATTTGCAGGGTATTGGCCGTTCGGCGTGGTGTGGTGCAACGTATACGTGACATGCGACGTGCTGGCGTGCTCGGCGAGTATAATGCACATGTGCTTCATCTCTCTGGGCCGTTACCTGGGTATCCGTAATCCGCTCAGGACACGTCACACATCCACGAAACGAATGGTGGGCTTCAAGATCGCCGCGGTCTGGCTACTAGCCATGCTGGTCTCCAGTTCCATCACGGTGTTAGGTAAATTACCCCTTTTCTCCTCATGTCCCTCTCATTCGTTTCAGCGGCGACTATCTAAACGGGGGGGGGGGAGGGAGGGAGGTTATACCTCCTCGTAGTAGAAAACCTCCCAATATGGACCGGCACGTATCTCATAAAACGGGTAAGTGCGAACAAGATGAAAACGCGTAGAATCGGCAAACAATCCCCGAGATGAAATGTATTCGAGAAACGGGAAGCTAGAACTGCCGTTTCATGTTTGCTCACACTCGTAGAATATACAATGCTCTTTATCCTGGATAATTCTATTCCAGAATAAATCGTCCGTCCTATTTATCTATTGTGTTAACCTTTACGACAAAAGGACGGTATTAAGAATTTTCATTATAAGGCTGATAAATAATAAGGTTCTATTAGAGATCTCTCTCATTTTTTTTTTATAAGGGCACATTCGCTCGTTCTAAAATTTTTGAAGCAAATTAAATTCCATATTCCGGCAAAAACTCTTCGAAAGAGCAAACTATTTTATGAGGAACTGCATCGTACCTCTCACGGAAAATTTAAATCCTAAACCGATTATGCATATTAGTGGACGAGTTTTCTGACCTAATAGATATTTTCTACTTGCCACTATTAATTTAATAACTTCAACAATCGCAGCATCTGTTTATCTTTCCTCTCCTTTTCTCTGTCTTCTTATTAGGCATTACACTAACTTCTACATATTTTTAATATTGCCTGCTAATTTTAAACAGTAAATAATATAAAAGAATCCATTTATAAAATTAAATAAATAGATTATTTTACATTTTCAAAAATCCGTTTATAAAATTAAATAAATAGATTATTTTGCATTTTCGAAAATTATGCAAAAGTGAAGGTGAGAAGGTGCGAGCGATACCTCGGTGGGTCGATAGACAACTTCGCGTTTTTATGAGCCGATAATTTTCACTGTATTCTCGCGAGATGAAGAGCGAAAAAGCGTGACGACGCGGCGATGCTTTATCGGCATAATACACATTTATCAAGGCTCTCGATGGCCGTCCTAATCGATAATAGAGAGGTAACCTCCTTCCTCTTTTTCACCTCTTGTAATGCAAATAACTCGATGGAAATTCTAATTAGGTGAGTTATACCAAATTTCTCGGAATTTTCGTAATTCCACGTTTACTCCCTTAACGAGTAATCGATTAGTCAGAATCGCGCAAAGTCAGAACGAGAGAGCTCGGATTCGAAGTCATTCTTGGAAATAATTTCGTTTTAAACACGACTCTATCGATGCCGTTTTTAAACAAAGCTTCCAAAAATCTAATTATATTTCCAAGCACTTGAGATAATCTTAATTGAAATTTAATCTGTTCCACTTGTAACAAGATATTCCGTAAGATGTGAAACGATTACGACGATTCGAGGGGAAATCACGCTTCGGGAAGAGATCCTGGAAGCTTAACGGATAATCGAGAGCTTCAATCAACAGCTAATTAGTGAACAGGATAATCAAGGCGTGATGAGATCCTGACGATTGTTGTTTCAGGCGTAATTAATTCATCAAATATCATGCCACAACCGGGTGTGTGCGTCATTAACAACCGGGCGTTCTTCGTATTCGGTTCCCTGATCGCCTTCTACATCCCCATGATCGTCATGGTGGCGACTTACGTTCTGACAGTACAACTGTTGCGGAAAAAGGCCCGATTCGCGGCCGAGAATCAGGATGGCGAGAATCAGTTTCGTCGGCTAGGCGGCAGATACGCGTCCACAAAAACAACATCGTCGACAGCATCAACGTCTAATACATCTGCCGCGACCACCGCCGTGCGATCGTCGGCCTCCTCGGCGAGACAGGTTCGCACTTCCGGCTGCAACGCGGAAAAGGAGAGGTGAGAGAATCAATTATTTTCATAAACATATCTTTCTTCAAAATAAAATCTTGCGTAAAAGATATTTAATCATTTTTTTTTTTTCTTTCAAAGAAATCATCCCCTTTTCTGCTTAGTTACGATTAGTTCGGAAGTACTTCCTGTATAATCATTATATCCAAATATGTTCAGTCTAATGGATGTGCATAATTACGATGTAAATATACATACAAATATTATGTATAAACAATTAACATAAAAATAAATGTTAAAATAGAGAATAAATGATAAAAAAACTAGATTGAACACGATTATATCTTCTTCACGCACACATACATTGCTTCAGACTTTATATTTATAGACAGAAATGAAATTAAATTGTTCGAATAATGTAATTATGATATTCATGAATTAAAAAATAAAGTTGCAAATATATAACATTCATTTATATATGTTAATCGTTTATCAAACTGTTTCTATGGTGCAGCTTTATACGAGGCAAATCGGGGCATGCAACACCCCTGATATCAATGCGAAGCGACGATCCACGAGTCTATGCATCTTAAATCAAGCGTCGCGACGCAACGGCCAGTCCGGAGCCGCGAATTAATGCAATCCCAACTTTCTTCATCAACGTGTCAATTTTTAATCGTAAACTCTCAACAATTCGCACACGAAACCAACAATCTCACACTGCCATGTGATTGATGTTGCAAAATAAAAAGTAGAATAAAATAAACAATGTAGTTTTTACTTCTGCAACAAAAATCATATTACAATGAAATAAAAATATTTCATTACAAAAAAATTTGTTTTAATTAAAATAATTGCAGATAATAACATAGAGAAAGAATAGAGAAAGCGTTTTCGCAATGTTTATTTGTCTTTTTCTCTTGATGTTAATTAAATTATGTAAATCATGTAGAAAATTTAATTATAAGTAAGGATTAATTAAATAAATATAATATAGTATAACGTTCGTTTTCAAAGAACAAGCACGCAATAGTTTCTGGGGAATTTAGAAAGTTTCGTTTGATTATTGAAACAGCGACAAATGCGGAGGTGTGAGAAAGGTCCTGCCGCATTTGAAGTTAGCAGTGAACGGCGCCGGGAGTGCCGCCGTAGGACCTCGGCTCAAGTCGAAAGTGGATCAGGCTACCCAAACGCCGGAGAACATCGCGCGCGAAACACGGAATTTCACCCTCAGGGCCCTGAAACTGCAACTGAACGTTACGCCGACCACGCTGAATCTCAGGTAGCCCTCTCTCCTCCGGAAGGAATCCGGAGGATTAAAAATTCCACATCCTTCGTAAATTCGATTATTCTTTAAGGTTTCTGGCGGGCCGAACGAAAAAGAGATCTCTGGCCGCGAACGCGGTCGCGACCGAGCAGAAAGCCAGCAAGGTCCTGGGGCTGGTATTCTTCACGTTCGTGCTGTGCTGGGCGCCGTTTTTCCTACTTAACATTTTCTTCGCCGCGTGTCCCAAGTGCCCCGTGCCGAGACACGTGGTGGATACGTTCCTCTGGCTGGGCTACGTGTCCTCGACAATCAATCCCATCATCTACACCATTTTCAACAAAACCTTCCGAGCCGCGTTCATTCGCTTACTGAAGTGCAAGTGTTCGAGGTAACATAATTAATTATTTCTTTTTTATAATATTCATTTTAATTCGACCTAATATTATTTTTTTTATCATTTAACCATTTTGTAGTACAGTTCTCAGAAATGCTTTTATTTTCTCTAATCAGATTTTTTTTAAACTATAAATAAGCTTCAACTGATCAAAAATTGTATTAAAAAATCTAATAGAAATTCTTAATAATAAAACAATTCTCTTCACAAAAACAGAAGCAAAAACATTTAATAAAATTAATACGACTCTCTTAGGTCTACGAGGCCTTCGAGATATCACTCGGTCACGGGAAGCGGAAGGGGAGCGGTGGGCCTGTGCACATCCGGTGCTCTTCCACTGGCCATCAGTCTTCAAGGTACACCCTTATTAACCCCAACGCCCAACCCTACGACGTCGGCATCGGGAAGCTCGTTTGTCACGATGATGCACCGAACGCCAAGCTCTCTATACCAAGACACCTTCTTGATTCACGAACGCGATCAGGACGATCATTAAATCTTCATCGATAATCGGGGGGCGATCACACTGCACAACATAATTTTTGCCCTCTTTACAGAAACAGGCAATTTTAATTGAAAAATCAATGTACATAGAATGTAGATAAAGCATCTTCCGTAAGTAATTATGCCGCTGTTTGTTACTTGGAAACTATGCGCGAAATTTCGGTTCCAATTCTGCATCCTTAAGTCGACTACAGTCACCTAATTAATTAATTAAGTTTTCTGACTAATCAAGATCGAGAAGATAAAAGGGAGCTATAACTTTGTTGTGCAGTGCTATCGATCAAGAAGATCCGCCAAATAATTTTCTGTTGGCAATTTCTTAAAGTTGCTTAAGTTCACTATCTATTGTAGAAATCGAATTTAGGTATCAATGTACGAAACGAAATAAAACAATACTACTATTTTAACATCGAGCACCATAAATCATATTTTCCTTCGCATATAAATTTTTTTTCCATAATATAATATTTTCCATAATAACTCTGACTCCTGAAACAATCTCTTTACTTGACATAAGGAATGTAGCAGAAGTCAACGAGCTTCTTTTTATGAGTAGAAGTATGTGAGTGTCGCAATATATCAAGCTCAAGTCCGTGGCTTCGTTAAGTCTAACAAAATGACTGTGCGCGGATCCGTTATTCTTGTGCGGGATTAAAAAGATATTTTTTAGTTTTTTGTTAAAAAAATAAATTATAACAAACAACGACGAGCCATTTGCCACCAAATTTAACATTAAGATGTATATACTACAAAGAGAAGCCTTCTTTCTGCAACAATTAGAAACGGACAGTACTGAGGCTGCCACCTAACAAAATTTTTCAAAGACAGGGTGATTCATCTCCCATTGATAATTCAACTTTCTCTTTATTTCAACTCTTTGAAGGTTAAAGCCTAATCAACAATCAATATATCAATGCTACACGTAATCGTTTAGAAATTTAGCTCAAATAAAATTTTGCTAAATTTTATCTACATGAGAACAAACTTTTCTGGCATTTACCCTCAGTGGGAAAATCCTGTAGGAGATTTGAGTTTATATTTATAGAATAAACCCTAGTATGATAAACAAATCTACGACAGTTTGACATTTCGAGATTCCGCGAGATGACGACAGCAAACAGAATTTTATCACGTCTGCTTTTCCATTCAGTTCTAAGATAAAATTTATCGGACGATAAAAGTGAGCTGTCGATAAAGGATGGGGAATTCTCCATCATCCCTTATTTGTCAAGTTTGACCTAATCGCTTAAAAACTTCTTCCGCAAGAGTAACGTTTGATCGGTATTGGCATCGGAATATTAATCAAATTTCTATTTTCAGAACTTCAGGACATAAACTTGAAAAATGTTTCGAATTTTAAAGTACCCTAAAATACTATAAAATATTCTGATCAATAAAGAAATCGATTTTTCTCCTCAATAAAAATAATTAAACATATATTTTAAATAATTGTAAAAGTAATATTAATTGAAAACACTACATTTCTCATTTTTTTATTTTAAATTTTGATAAAACTTAATTTAATTGTTATAAAATAATTATAAACATGTCGATAAAATATTTTGTATATTAATAATATTATAATATAATATTCATAAAATCTCGAATATATCAAAGAGATTGTAAAAATAATATTATAAGAATGTTAATATTATTTAATTTTATTTACTTAAAATTTAATCATATAAATGAGCATCGAAATGAGTATAAAATGTTAATTATTTATATATATTATATATATTTCAATACATGTTTAAATACACGTATTAAAAGGGTTGTATGAGTAATATCTTAGTATTTTGCTTGTCGCGAAAACACACCTGGCAAGTTCGAGGCTACTGACAGCAGCTGTTCGACCTAGTTGGTACGCAAAAATAAGACAAACGATTATTATAATCCGCGATCCTCCGGATAGGAAACGTAATTGAGTTGGAAAGAATTTTCATTTGTTGATTCGACAACATAGTTAGATTATTCGCCGCGGATACGGATACGATTTTGCGAGGCAAAGTTTGCGCTACCTTGAGCTTTGTAACTAGTTTGCGGGAACGTTGTAAACTATATTCGATAGAACGTAAAAATAATAAAAGCATTCTCTTCATTAAAGAAATATAAAGTAAATAAGCCTTGTGAAAAATAATGTTAATAAATAATAGAAATTAAATGATTAATATTGGATAAAATTAAGCAAGTCAAACTTTATAAATAAGAGCTAAATGATTAAAAAAAATAAATTGTTACAATGAAAAATTCACAAAAATAAAAAAAAATGAGACAAAATTATAAATATATAACATAAAACTTCAATTTTCAATTTTTTAAAAACATAACTTTAGCCAAATGTTTGTTTTGGAAATTTATAATTCAATATCTCTCGCAAAATAGAAACGCGTGGCAAATAGAAAGCTTCATAGAATTTTCGATACATGGAACTCGATTTCGTTATTTTATTTCCGGTATCGGAAACGTAATTTTGCGTCCGTCAGTATTTTTAAAAGATAGTTCAAAGATAAGCTCGACAAGTAATAATGGGAATTCCGAAATAGGAATTCCCAAATGCGTTTCGGGAAAAGGTCGCGACATCTAATTTGTCAGCTCCACGCGCGGTGCAAAAGACTCGAGAAATTCGGATGTAATCCGTTCGGAAATTCGTTCGTTGAATGTTGCTTTTCGAGCTCTTTTTCGCTCTCACCGCTGATTTTATTCCTTCATTAGGCTCATGTAATTAGGGTAAAAGCATCCCGGCCTTTGCGCGCAGGACAAACAGCTCTACATGAAAGCCGGAACGACCTAAATGTATTTGAGAATATCATCGCGCTAATGCGAATCTTATGAGTTTCGATAAAAAAAAAAGTGAGAGTCGTTGAGTATGATTGACATCGAGCTTCCTGCAAATTGCAAACCGAAAACGCCAAAATCATACTGCGATATTAAAATAATATAATTAAACCTAAAGTATTTAACTTCCATTGTTGCAATTAGAAATATATTAATTATATTTTAGTCTAGAAAATTAGAAAAATAACACTCGGGAAAAAATCTTTCTAATAATTAATTATATATATCTTTGAAATCTAAATACCAAATTCGGAGAGATAATATAACTGTTTGAATATCTAAATTTATATCTTGAATAAAATCCAAAGAGAGAAAATATAATACCTGACATTTAAATGGAGAAGTATAAAAATCTAATTTCGCGACGGCATGCTCCGACGCGAGGAGATGCATTTAAGGATTCGTCGTCTGTATGCTTATGCAAACGTTGCACATCTCGTTGCGCATCTCTCAAGTTGCTCGTCTACGCGGGGAAACGTTTCGCGTCTGCCGCGAAATTCATCGAGTTCCGCGCGACGGTACCGCGCGTAATGCACATAAGTAAGTTTAACGCTTTCTGGAGGAGATGGTATAACGGCGAACACGGTACCTCCATTACGGCGTCGGTGTCGCAGTTTGCAATTTGCGATTTCTGGATCGCCGCGAGGATGCTGCGAGATGACATGCTCGTCAAAATGATCGAGCGACGTCGCAGTGCGATACCGGGACGGATAAAACGTCCATTTTTGAGAAAATCCCTTTAAAAGACGATAGGATTATACATCTAAATAATTTCACATGGATAAAAAAACCGCAACAGAAGCACACAATAAAAAAAGTATTCGTAAATATTTTGTACAAAACACCTATTTTGCAGTTGTCCACTATAAAAAAAAGCCAATACAATTTTTTTTATAGTACTGCTCTCTTTCAGAAATAGATATTATTTCGGATTTAAATCTAATGACATGCTAATTATGCGGCTCGTGCGAAAAGGATAGATTAATTATTTCTGAAACGTAGAGGGTGTCCCAAGACTTACCACACCACTTTTTACATGCGGATTCTTTTGTCAATTCAAACAGCTGTGATCGATCACTTGCTACAAGTTTCTAATTTTCAACATTACGTACCTTGTTGATTTCTTACACCAAGAAGGTATTAAAATTGTTTTAAATTAAGCGAAGAATGATGCTTTATTCATCTGCCATCCCGAAGTTTAATTCTCGAAAAGCTACTCACTTTTAATCGCTTATATTAAGGCTGCTTGTCAAGGTATTTTTATTAATAAAGAAAAAATGACTCTAAATTGAATGAAAGAAAAATCCGTAGCGGTAAAAGCAAATCCACTGACTTACTGTTACACCCTGTACATCTCCTGGATTAACCGGGCCGCAAAATCGCGTGGGATAAAAGTGATAGGTAACGCACGGAAGCTCGTTAACCCGAAGCTCTCCATTTCCAGCAATGCATAACAAAGCGAGGGAAAAGTGAGAAGCTTTTCCGACTGGCCGCTGCCGTAATGGAAAATTAAAAATCAAGCGTGCCATTAAGTCAACGCCGACAAAATCTATTCATTATTAACTTCATCTCAAGCTTAAGCGTGGCAGTCAAATAAATTCGAGATAATAAACACTTATAAATAATTATATAAATTAATCGTGCTTGGAATTAAAAATTTATGATATCAAAAATGCAAACTCCGAAAAATTCAAAAAGCGATAGAGCGCAATGTGTAGTTTTCTTAAGCTTACATCTTTGATTTGAGCACTTTGAATCTCTGACTTGCATTAACAACACACGATTAGACTTTAAAGTTTTAATTTTTCTTTTCTGATTCAATTTTTAGTTTCTCAATTCTATTGCATTGGAATTTCTTAATTTCTCCAATTTTAGAAAATCGAAAAATTTCTTCTCAAAACTTTCAATCTTCTGAAATTTTTATTTCTTAATTTCCTCCAGTCAGTAATTTAAAAATGTCAATAGAAACTCTATTTTAGATTCTAAAAGCAATTTGCCGAAGGATTAAAACGAATAGAATTCTTTAATTAAAACGGACGCGGATTTCAAAGGCTGAGCTTCATTTATTAGGAATTCTTTCGCGGAAAACCGAAAAAAGGCCATAAGGGATCAACGAGTCGGCGGTCGAATTTGTGCGGGCAATTTTATTTCTCGTTCCCGTGGAACAATGGCTTCATTTCGCGCGAGTTCCACGTCACGCAGAACCCGCGGAATGATCGATCAATCCGAGAATGACCCCCATCATCTCGATTACCTTTTAGTCCATTTCCCTCATCCTTTGCCGCGTCCGTCGCAAACGTCGCAGCAGGACCTCCGTCCGGTACAGGACAAGGCAAAAGGGTAATTTGAATATGACTGGATTAAAATTATACTACACCGTGTTTCTAAGTTATCCGCTAAATATTGTGGATGAAAAACGTCGAGGAGAGAGAGAGAGAAATTTAAAGTTCTACTCGGCGGTATACAGATACGAATAATTATATAAAACGTGCCAATTAACTTGACTTAATTACCAAATTGTTGTAATCAATATATACATATTACTCATCATAATTAA